CAGCAACATAGGCTCTGCAAGTAGGAGTCCTGGGGCAGGGAACCGTGTTCCTCTCCACACCCCATCCTGACATCTGGCAGCTGTAGGCATGACTTCAGTGCAAGACTTGGAACGGAGCCAAAACCCTTCCCACAGACTAGCGCCGTCTTTTACTAGTGTCTTCCGTCCCCCGCTCCCAGCCAGTACAGGCCACCCCACTGGTCATGGAGATGCAGGGATCCTCCATCAGAGGCTGTCTTGTGCAGCCTCTCCTGCTCTGACCACAGAGCTGCCCCAGGTGCCCAACAAAGTGCTTGGATCAGCACCCCAGCAGAGGGCAAGCTGGGACCTGCTTTTCTCTTTACTGAGAGTATTGATTTAACAATTTTTGAAATGGTATTTCCCCTAGCTCTGCCATGGACAAGGACAACGCCTTCTCCTGGCCTACCCAAGCCTCTTCCATCCAGCAACTCTTTTCACAAACTCTAGTGAGGATCAGACACACGAGTTCACTCCCCATGATCTCTTCATGTCTAGGTTTTTGTGCTGAGAAGCTATTTGCAGTGATGGGTCAATGCAGAACTGTAATGAACAACAGCAGTAATATGGGTCTATGCTATACCATGGAGCTCCTCTGGTGACCTGCAGCACCCACTATTGCCTCCTCAGCACTCACTCCTTATGAACATGTGCCTCAGACAGGTGATGTTTAAGAACTGGGCTGAGATGACCAGTCTGTCCATACAGCGGTCACTGCTGCTGCATGTCAGAGGGTAGCTGACCAGAGGATATTTCTTTTACTTGGCTTGAATTCAAACCAGTGATCTATAATCAGTTCCTTGCTCCCCCATGTTGTTTGGGTCTCTTTGTCTGGTGCAGCTTTTTGCACTGTGCTTCCAGAGACAACTCTGTAGATAGGTATTTGCCTATTTACATTTCACAGGATACCTGGGGAAGCAAAATTACCATAGGCTGCTGCCTACTTTGCCCGAGCTTCCCTCTCTCTGGAAAGGGAAAGACCTGTTGCTGCCTCTCAAGGAAGGGCTGAGGGATATGGACTCTCTCTCTTGCAGCAGAACTGTGGCCATCCCTCACATCACCGGGGCTGCCAGAGCCACAGGTGCAACGCTCCAGGGCTCTTCACGATTCCTTCCAGCACCTTGTCACAGCTCCACCACCCTCTTTCAATGCCTCCTTTACCTTAGCATGAGCGGCCAGGCCCCTCAACCTTAGGGCAACAACACTCAGTTTTGTGAGTGTTGTTGAGCTATCTCTATCTGCATAGTTGCAGCATCTGGACGTGACACAGTTTACCTGTGACATACATCATGTACAGCACCAGTTGCACAGCAGTTACTGCTGTAGGCTGTAGACTCAGAAACAGATTCAAAGAGTGCTGTGGTATGTGGGAACCTTTTGGGCTGCATACCAGCCAATGCCAGGCACAAAAAGACCACACAAAACAAATATACTTGCAAGGACTGTTCTCCTTCTCCTCAGCTTGAAGACTCCCACATGCCATCCTTCTTTCTTCCCCGCTCTGAAACAGGAGTTGAACAGGTACACACCAACATGCTGATAACAATCCCAAACTGATTTTTTAAGCACCAGTTGTCTAATCTATGTTCTAGATAAACCAATGAGAATACAAGCATTAGAAAACATTAATTATTGTGAGAGATGTTATATCTCTGTATTTTTATAGAAGAGAAAGTTAAGGTTTTTATCACAGGCTGCTTTAATGATAGTTGATGGCTTCTTATTCTATCAGGAAAAGACATAATGAAATCTGGTATGTGGAAGCCGAAACTGGAGAAATCCAGAGATGAAGCAAGGGGAGAGCTATTAATACTGAGAATAACACTGAAGTTGCCCCTGGGATGACTCCCTAAGGAAAATGGGAATTTTCCATTGTTTTGCTCCGTGCCAGTCAAGACTGTATATATAAAACATATGCTCTTGCTCAAATTCTGGCTTGAATAGTAGACATAAGTGTCTTTGTGTGTGAAGTGTGACAAGATGACCATAATGCAATCAAAACCAGCTGACAAAGTACCTGAGGGCAATGGTTTCCTGGCCCTCCCACTGGGTCCTCCCACGAGCAACTAGTTTGCAGTGAGGTGATCCACAGCTGCCAGTCTCTTATTTTTCTGCTACATGAGCTTGTCATTGCTGATTAGAAGGGAAGCAAGGCAGGGGGTTGCAAGTCTGTGTTCTGTCTGTCAGCACACTGCAAGCCCAGGAGAAAGAGAGTAAAGGAATTAGGCACAAAGGCTATTTTCAACATCTTGAAGCCTGTAACATCAGTGGAATTCAGAGAACTAGTATGAAGCCTAAGTTGCCTGTGGAGAGAGATAAGTACCTCAAACACATATTTCAAGGTCCTGTCTTGTTTTTGTGCAAGTTTTTTCCCACATAGGATTGAGCCTTCTGTGGAGCTCTGACGCATGGACTTTGGGTCTGGCTGGTGTCCTTGCCCCTTTGGTAAGTTTTCAGCAGTGCTGTGTCTGGAACGCAATGCTCTCTCCCACCTGCAGAACTGTGACAATTTTGCTTACTAAGAGAAAGAGTTTCTTCTGCTCTCATCTTCTGACATCTCGTTCTCATTTATCTCTTTGTCCTTCTATTTCGGTATCTTGGATATGGTCCTCTTAACAAAGCAGCCTGTGCTTGAGTTGTGATAATGATAGTCTAACAGTACTAGTTCTCTTGGATCTGCCAGTGAATTTGTTTTGTTAGTAAGATATTTGCTGTTTATAGTAAATTTTATTTTTTGCTGAATGATTTGTCTGCAAATTGGAAAGACCTGATATACTGTGCTTGAGCAGCCATATTAAAGATAACTGCCGAGGGAAATCACTTGGGAACAATGAGATACTACTTGCTCTTCTTACAACCTTCTCCATCTGAACTCCAAACTACTTTTCTATTTGCATTGTTTAATGGAAGCCACAATTTTATTTTTTTAATAATAATTTTTAAAAATACTTTAACAGAAGCAACAGAAGACATAAGGAGGCATGGCTTTGAAGAATAATTGCATTAAATACACGACAGCAGGTTGTGTGAGTGCCGATGTGGTTCTGGGCCTCCAGGGGTTAAAGCAAGGTGTGTGTGCAGGCAATTCTTGGGGAGGTACTTTGTATAAAGTTCAGTGGCTGAGGAATGTCCTGGCAGTCAAGCTTCATTGCCTGGGAAAAACACAAGGCCAGATTGACATTTCAGTAAGTGATACGATCTGGTTGGCTTTGCTGGTGCAAATGAGAGAACTTGACCAGTGCCTTTAAAGGAAGAATAAAAATACCTCATAAAATTCAGATTAAGAAGTATTGTGTTTGCATGCTGTGGCTGAAAGGAGCAGGAATAGGATGGGGAACATGAAGGGAATAGCTGCTTTTCCCACTTTGTCTTTGGTCAGCCTCAGTTCAGGGGGGGATTCTGTAAAAAGGGTGAAGTTAGCTTTTGCCCTCTGAAATACCTAAAGGGAGATACAATTTGTGCTGCTTCTGGTTATTTATTACAATTCTTTGATAACCGGGAATAATGATTAATACAGGCTCACACTCAACACAGAGATTGTAGGCAACTGGAGTCCCTTCCACTGGGAATTGGCAGAGAAATCTCTTTGGGTGATACTGTCCCAACAGCCAGCTCCATCTCTGGCTATATTCCTGCCTGTCCTTGCTCAGCTGGCCAAATGAGAGAGCTCCTCACCAGATGCCTATTTCTTTTCAGTTCTTTGCCTGTCTCCATTTGGCTCTCCAGCCACCTCTTTGTAGTGCTATCCTGCTCTATGCCTGAACCAGCTCCATAATGTATGCTTTGTCTTTTAGCTAGAAAGGAACAGGCAACTTCATTCAACCAAATTCCCATGAAACTGGAAATTGATGAGAAATCTAAACCGAAACCATCTTTAGGAAACTGCAGCGTCCTCAGAGTCTTTGGAAATCTGACTATTTATTTGGATAATGAGGTGTAGATTTCAGAGTCTGCCTTTATTCACTCCAGTGTCCAAATCTTGACCTTATGTTTTTAGTTATATTTTTATATTTTAACCATTTATTCACATCAATCTTTTCATTTGTGCTCACAGTAAGTGATTTGATACCCACTGTTTCTCTGCTGAGACATCAGTGAAAGCACACTATCAACACGAGGAAAGAATTTACAATGCAAGTTTAACAAACAGAACAATTAAGATCTTGTTTAACCAGGACTAGTGAAGTGTTGCTTACTGTACTAGGAGATACTTTTGTTCAGTTCTCCTGCCTCTTCCTGCACAGATTGTTGAAGCCTGTTTATTTCAGCCTGCCTTGTTTTGCGAGAGCTCATTTGCTTCAGCTCTCAACAGGAGCCGAGGTACAGTTTCAGAGCATTCGTGGATCTCTCATAATCGTTCAAGACATCATCATTCTGGTGCAGCCCTTCCCCAACAGGCAGCGAGATTACCAGGTCTTTGTATAACACACATAATATAAATTCTGGTAAGTCACTGGTATATTCATGTAAGGGATTGCTGCATGTGAAGTAGCTCTATACGTGGTGGCCTGATGACTGAATAAAATATTCTCTGTGCTGGCAGCTGTCATTAGAAATGCTTGAGGCCCTGGACCTGTTTGTTTGAGCCATTTCATATGGGAGATAGCACAAGTACGTGGGGCAGGATGGTGTCCTCTGGTCAGGAGAGGCGTCATTACACTACTTAGATTTTAATCTCTGTCCCGGCACCAACCTCATGCCCTGGGACTGCCTACAAGCAGTGAAGGGTGCTTCGGCGGGAGCCTGGAACGAGCCACCAGCCCCTCAAGGCTGCAGCGCACGGTGAGGGCAGCGTGCTGGTGTGGATGCCAGCTGCCTGCCCGGCTGCTCCACGAAAAAACACCACAACTCTGGCGGTCTGTTTGGGAACATCGGCTCCGAGGGCTGGAAGGTAACTGCAAGGGGGATCTCAGGAGACTCGGTGGCAGCCCCTGAGGGTGCAGGGTGGGCGGAGAGGAGGATGTCTCCGCCCGCGGCAGAGCGTGGCTGCCGCTCTTCTCCTCTGGGCCGGGCTGCCCCGGCACTCGGCGCCGCCCGCCCCACCTGCCTCACCGCCGAGCCCGAGAAGGGGTTAAAAGCCCGGGGCGGGTGATGTCAGTTCCTGCGCTCCTCGGGAGGGCCGGCTCTGATATTTGAGCCGGGCTCTCCCGTTCGAGGGAAACCGAGGAGGGAATGGCAAAGTGCTGAATGGGACAGGAGTCGTGCCGGGCACCTGCCTGCCGCCCTGCGCCGCGCAGCCGCCGCGCCCAGGGCCAGCCCCGCGGGCCGGGAGCCCCGGGAGGGCGCCGGCTGCGCCCGCCAGCGCCCTGCCCTGCCCCGCCGGCACGGACCCCGCGCCGGCCAAGGTGAGCGCGGGCGGGGGGCGCCCCGGGCGGGGAGAGGGCGGCCGAGTGCTCTGGAGGGCCGGTCTGTGCGGGGCTGGCTGTCACAGCCTTTCTTCCCCTTCTTGTCTTTCTTCGAAGGTGATGGTAAGGGGATTGGCGGGAGCGTTCTGGAGGTGATGTTGTGTCATCTCTGTTAACCGAGGTTTGCCTTCGGGTCTGGGACTTTGGCCCTGAAGAGGCGTGGAAGAGATGGGGGGAGGAATGGCCACACGAGGGGGAAAACGCAGCCCAAGTGTAAATGTGTCTGAGTCCTGCGGTTTCTTCTGCCTTTCCGGTAAGCTTCGGTGTACGGGGCAAGACCTCCGCAGGTAAAATGGCACAACCGGGAGCCCCTGTTCCTGCCTCCTGGCACTCTTAGTAGCCAAGCCACCTGCACTAATGTAGAGGGGAAATTATTCCCCGCTCTCCACTCCCCGGCTCGCGACAAGCCCTGGCCTTCTCACGGCTTTTTGTGTTATTTTTTTTTTTCCCCCTCCATGCTCTGCACATCCCAGGCCGCATTCCTGAACGGGAAATGACTGTGTGGCTGAACAATTCCAATGGCCTCAGGGCTAAAAAGCTGGGGGGTGAAACTGGTTATGAAGTGGAAAATGAGGTGGCTGAGGACAGGGAGTTGATTAATAGTACGGGATTTCTCCACTGAGTTTTGCCCATACTGCTGACCCCTTTGGTGTTGATGCAGTGACACGGGAGGAAACCTCTCTCCCTTCATGTGTTACATTTATCACATTTCTACTGACTCTTTTATAGTAAGATGGTAGCTAAAAGTTAGACCAGTATTCAGGTCTGGTGTTCAGGCAGGGTCTGGTGCATATTACTGGCAGGTGCTCAGAACTGCAGTCCTCCTGTGCTGACTGAATCCCCTATGACAGCCTGGATAAACTGATTGCAGAGCTGAGGAGACAGACATTTGTATTTGAAATACGGAAATAGTGTTTCACTTGTCTTCTTTGCACTGAATGAACAAAGTGCAAACACTTTACTTGCATTTATATCTGCAACTGAAAGTCTTCATGTTGATTAATTGTTTTTATTCTTAAAGGGCATTTCAGATGGAAACATACAAAGTCTCTGAAGTGTTGTGAATTCTAGTCTGGATCCACCTACATCTGGGAAATCACTTGATCCTGCTCTAAAAACAAACAAACAAAAATACCCAAAGCTCAGAAAAACCTCAAAAACCCAAAAAACAACCATGTGACATCTTGGTATAAATTTTAGCTTCATCAGAATTACAACTGGATATGGGCACTCCAAGTAAATATTTATTTTGTATATTACATTTAGTGTCAGAACTGTCTCTGATGTTGGTCGAAACAGACAGATATATGCATGAGACTTATAGTTTTGACTGCATTTAGCACTTGGCTCAGTCGTTTCCCCCCCAGTGAGTTCTAAGGACTTCGTAGCTCCCATTATCTTCACTGGCAGTTTAATATGTTTGATGCTTAAAACTGAAAATCAAGTTGCTCTTTAAGAAGCAACTGTATGCATTTAAGAATTAAGTTTTGAAAATCTCAGCTTGTTTGAAAAAAGTAGCTGCTTCCTGTTTTCCAAGTTCCTTAAAGTAAGAGTACTGCATTTGAAAATATCTGACTCCCAACTTATTCATATGTCTAGGGGAAAAAAGAACCAATTTTATATGAATGTATAACCATAAATATATAAATATGGTTTAGATAACCATATAAATTCTTTATCTGATATGAAAAGGACCAGTATCTGGGAAGGCACAGGTATCAAAGAATGTAGTGAATAAAGACTGTTAAGAATTATGAAAAAAGGCATGTGAAATGGCAGATCCAATAGAAAGGATTTAAAGTCAGTCTATCAAAATAAAGTTGATACTGTAATTCAGAGTGAGACAAACTGCTTACATTCAGGAGAATGGGGGAAAAGGTACAATGTATTTTAACAGTAAAAGAAATTTCAGAATAAATTTTGTAAATAAAGTTATAATTTAGGAGTAAGTATCAGACATTGTAATACAAAATCTTTCTCTGAAAAAGCATAAGGTTTTTGCTAGAGGGGAAAAGCTGTAATTCTAGTCTCTAGCCTTCAGAAATAATTTGGTATGATGACACATGGGGAAGTTATTAGCTTAAGTGGAGGAGATGGGGATTAATAGAAGAATGGTAAGATAGACAAATGAGAAAAGAGAATGTGACAACACAGTGGTGAAGAAGGGTCTATTAGATGGTAGGTATTTTACTAGAAGAGTTGACTGACAGAGGGGATTAATGTAATGACTCAAAGTAAAATTGTGCGTTAGAAGTAGTTATAAAGTGGGCATAAAACCTGGAAGAGCACTCTTTAAAATCAGCAGAGGAGGAAAAGATATGGTTATACTAATCAATCACAGGGTAACCATGGGCCTGTTGAATTTTGCAATCAGAGTTGATAAGGTTGGAAGGGACCACAGTGGGTCATCTGGTCTGATCTCCCTGCTCAAGCAAGGTCATTCTATAGCACATTACACAGGATTGCATCCAGATGGTTCTTCAATATCTCCAGTGGGGGAGACTCCACACAGTAAAGAAGTTTTTCCTCATGTCTATCTGGAACTTCCTGTGCATCAGTTTCTGCCCATTGTCTCTTGTCCTGTTGTGTGATACCACAATGGCCAGTAGTACAGAGAATAGATCTTTTGGAGGTCTGACTCAGACATGAGCTTTATTAATCTGTTCTGGTGCCATTGTAATTACCCTTCTGCACTCCGAAGTCTGGCATTTGCAAAGGAAAAGCCAGCTGAGAGTCTTCTGCTCCAGTTGTGTCAATTTGTCTGTGAATGTCGACCACCAGTATAATATGGTGGAAAGTGCTAAATGCCTTTACACAAGGCTTTGGTATGGGTGCATGCTGCCTTTCAGATGCAGTTGTGGTCACCCATGACTGTGAAGGGGAGGGAGAAAGATAAAACCTGGCCCTTTTATATGATGTGGTCTGAAGCTGGAACAGGTGCAGAGCAAGAGTGGTGAGCTTTTCTTAGGAGACTAGAGGAGCCCCTTATCTCTAGCCTTGCAAAATCAGGTCTCTAATGGGAAGCTTTTGATATCTACAAACACATCAAGGGGTAAATATGAGGAAGGGGAAAAAAACTAACTAAGCTGAAGGGCACTAATCTACAAGAATGAACAGATACAGGCTGATTATGATTATATTTATGCTGGTAACTGGAAGGCAGCTCATTAGAGGGGTGAGGTTCTAGAACAACAGGAACAGTGGGAGCAAAACTGCATGCACAGTTCTAGGGAAGAGAGTGTTCATTTATGAAAGGGATTATATGATGCAGTTGTCCATAGTGATAAGGAACGAGGTGTAATGATTCAGGATATCTATCCCAGTCTTAGACTTCCTATTCAGAATAGGATAATTTTAGTTCAACCAAAAGTTATGCACTATATGGGAAAATTACTTTTGCTCTGGCATAAGCTGTGTGGTACATCAGTTTCATTTTGCTTTGTACCATTAGAGTTCATCCCATTCATTTGTATGTCCTTTTTGAACTTAAGCTTTATGAATAAAGACTAAAATCTCTTTATACTTGTATGAAAGAGAACAACATTTCATTTGAGAGCTGAATTATTGTGTACAAAACAGAGTTAGCTGTGAACAAACTTATGGTGATGTAGCATCCTTCCATGACTTAGTGCCCTCTTTTGGCTTGGGAAAGACTATTGATAGCAATACCTTAGAGGGAAACCGTACAGTGTTGTGATGTGTACCAAAGGTAACCTGGTTAAATGCATGGCAAGGAGCTAGGGCTAGAGATTAGATCAATGTGCTGGATGGGCTGTGGAAAAGGATGGCCTTTGTTTCTGTAAAACTGTAAGTGTGCTGCTTGTAGAATAGTGGTTTTCTTTCCTATTGCAGAATGTTTTCAGTGATGCAGTGCTGGACACATGAGTGTGCCTTTGCCTTGTTTTACTTAAACCTGCCTTCTGACCTGGAATAGTGTTCCATAATTCATTGGAAAGGTAGGCAATTTGCTGTCTGGGAAACTTTCTATTACTGAACAAAGCAACCTGCCCATAAAATAACTTGCAGGTAGTGTTTGTAGCTAAAGGGTATAAAATGTGTCTTCCTTAACTTGGAACATCAGAGATATAGCTGAATAGAGTGGCTTGCTGTGTTATGTATACTCACACTATTATATATTCTCAGGGTAACTTGAATCTCAAGTCTTAGGAGCAAATGACAAGTGGGTACAACTAGAGGGACATCTTAAACTTTTCCACTCTGCAAAGGCAGATGTAAAGACAATGAGGCTGAGTGACTTCATTGCTCTCTCTCAAGTCTTGGTCTGTTCCTTGGTCCATCACAGCCTGGGACTTGCAAGTTTGTCTATGGGCAGGTGAGAAGCTCCTTTAACAAGGATTTAATTGTTTTGATGAAGTTGAGCTAATAGCTGTTCTGGCTATGTAAACATTCATTATTGTAGAATAATACAGCTGGCCGCTGGACTACACACATTGAGTTGATCTTAAAAACCTTTTTGTTCACAAATGCCTTATTATTCCACCCGAAGTCTGGAAACATGGGGGCCTTGCACTCCATGCCAAATTTCACGAGCTTGTGGTGCGCCGTTGGGAGCTCGGTGAACTACCATCAGACCTACGTGATGCAGTCATCATCACTTTGTATAAGAAGAAAGGAATTAAATCAGATTGCTCAAATTACCGTGGTATTACTCTGCTCTCCATTGCTGGCAAAATCCCGGCAAGAATACTCTTGAACAGACTAATTAATGCCCACTATAGCAGAAGGAATTCTACCTGAAAGTCAGTGTGGTTTCAGAGCCAACAGGAGTACCACAGACATGGTGTTTGTTCTCAGACAACCACAAGAGAAGTGTAGGGAACAGAACAAAGGTACCATACTGGTACAAAGAAGCCAGAAGTAAAGGTACTAATCTCTGGGTAGAAGCTGAGCAAGACGGTAAGGGTAGCGGTAAGGCTGTTTCTGGAATATACAGTATGATGCATTAGTAAATTATTTACTCACTCTACAGGTAAAAGTTTATCCATTAAGAGTAACCTCTGGCAGAGGGCAATATCGATAACTCGGGATAGTACCACTTCATCTTCTGCTTGGGGAAGAAATGACCTCTGTTACCAGTTCTGTAAGATGGACCAAGGAAGACTAGACACAGGGGGTGATAAGTTTGTCCTTCTAAAATACGTATTTTTTTTTTCCTTTCTATATTGTAGGGTTTTTGGAGCACCTCAGATGACATCCTAAATGGGTGATTAACTTCACAATGGCAGAACTCACACTGGAAAATGGCAGCTGTATGGACTGGCAAAAGCGATGCCTTGCGTTGGAGTCCCAGCTCTTCAAATTCCGCTTGCAGGCAAGCAAGATCCGAGAGCTGTTAGCTGAGAAGGTGAGGCAGTGGTGATGACTTCTACTTTGCAATAAGTTATGACATGAAAGCAAAAAGTCTGTAAGTGCTGAGCTATCCAACAGAACTGTTACTTGCAGTAACGATTTCTTTCTTGATTACAGTATGTTTTTGCACTCTGCTTATTACTCAAGATGCAGAGACGTGCCTGTCTGAGTGGTGAAGGTGGCATTAGTGAAAATAAGAATTTGGCCTTGTTTACTGCAAAATCACCAAGTATTTGGACTCTGGTGGAAAACAGTATATCAGCAAGATTCTGGATATCTAAAGTGACTAAGGCAGCTGCAGAGCAAAGATGGATGCTGTGGGTTAGAACATCAGTATTGGGACTTGGCTGGCAAAGAAAAGCTTATAGGAGTGCAAATTATGCTATAATGTTAAAAAACTAGACGAGGGTACATGTATTGCCATAGTGTTAGAATAACGTTTTATATCCAGTCAAAACATTCCGGGGATGCTGAGGAGCAGGGCCAGATATTTCGAGATCTGAATATTAGAAACTTGCTTAGCATCTGTGGTTTTAGAGGCATCTCCTACTAATCTCTTTCAAGTGTACTCAGTGAATTTGTTTACATCCTAGGGGAGAGGACTGGCAAGATTTGCGGGTTTTGTTGGAGTTTTCTCTTTTGTTTGTTTTCATCATGGTGTGAATGTTTTGTGTTTTTTCTTTACCTTAGATTGAGTTGTTTTTCAATTTGAATTAAAGCTTTTTCACTAAATTTGTATAAAATCCAAGTTTGTAGGTTGCTGTGGGGTTCCTTCTTTTTTTTCCAAATGTGGCTTACATTATTACAGTCCAGTCCAAGATTGCTCAGATATTGCTCAAATATTTACTATTGGAAAATGAGAACAACTTCTTTCAGTCACAGTTTACTAGTGATATTAAAATCTGTACAACTAGCTGCAGTTTACTGTACCTGATGACAGATACGTTCTAAACTCACTTTTGCCCTATTTTGTATTACGTAACTTCTGTGTGTATATTCTTGTTTGTTGATTTTGGATGTAAAAACATCAAAATGTCAGCTACTTCAGAGTGGAGTAATTTTCATCCTTGCTTTCACTGTAATTACATTTTTAGTAATGCCATATAGTGTATGAGACGTTCATTCTACCCATCATATTTTAATAAATTATGCAATTTTAATCACCATTTTCATCTCTTCAAGGTAGCTTCTGAGGTGGACCTTGGTGATTACTTACCTTGAAAAACATTGAAAGTAGTTGTAAAGTCCATTTAGATAAAGGCACATTAAAAAAATAATTTATAGATGTGGCCCAGGTCTGGTAAAGAGAATCAGTATTCATTTGGTGTGTTATGGAATCTGTGTCCTTGTGCTTTCTTAATATCTGTTTTGAGAAGCTTTCTGACTACCCACACACAAAACAAACCTACGTAGAAGACTTTCTTTCTGGAGAACAGACTTGCTAGATATCTTTTGACTATTTCTTTAGGGAGGGGCTCCATGGCAGAGAATGAAATTTTCATCTTCTTCAGGGGGCTCCTCAAGGAAGGGACCTGACTGCCATTAATCCAGCCTCTCAGTCAAAGCGATGTTCCCTTTGTTAAAATTAAGGAGTAGCTTGGTTCAGTGATCAGGTTATTCTATAACTACCTGTACAGAACTGTTGTAGGCTTACTTGAAGGTTCAAAGAGCTAGCAGGCTTGCAGTTCGCTGAATGTCATGTGGGAAGGGGAGAGCCTCGGACACTGTGGGGCAGCTCCAGCAGGCCCTCCTGCTGCTGGTGGACTCAAGGCACCAGAGCAGTTGCTCTGCACACAGTGCTCATGCTGAACACTGTTGTTGGGAAGTGTCCTCTGCCTCAGGTTCCCAAGTGGTCTGTAACAACTTGCTCAGAGATCCTCCTTCCCTTCTCAGTCACCACAGGGCTCCCCAGCAGTCACAGCAACAGGGGCTTGTATCTGTGCTGCATCCTTCTCCCGCTCAGGTGGCCAGTGATGCAAAACTGAAGGAAGTAAATGGTTTTCGATAGTGATGCCAGCTTCAGGGATTTTTATCACAGATTTTTATAGCAACTGTGATTTTTAATCTTTTTTTCTCACTGTTCTATCTGAGAGAATCGAGAGATTCAGACTTATTTGAGAGTCCTGCATTTCAAAAAAGGTTTTTTTGAGGTAGTGTGGGGGGATGATTTTGGAAAAGTATGTAGTGGGCGCAGTTTGAATCTGTGTTGCCAACCTGTGGTGAACATTGTCCTGAGATCCTCCCAGTATGGCTTGTAGCAACAGGAAAATTATTTTTTAAAAAAGTGATTTAGATGGTGAAAGTGAAGAACAATGTTAACAGTGGTGTGATACTTGCTCACCAGCCAGGTTGTCTCAAGGATTTGGAAGTTACTGATTGAAAGGCTTGGAAACCTGATCCCCCACATTTTAAATTATTCTTTATAACTAATTTTATTACTTAAAGACAAGTTTTACTATTTTAACTCACAAAAAACCCCAACCACTCACGCCTGGCATTGGTAGTACAATGTGCTCCAACAGTTTAAGTACTTGAGATTTTTAAAATCCGCTTAGATTGAATAATCTAGATCGCAGTTCAGAACATGAGGAATTTAAAACCCAGTGGTTTAACTGCCAGTGCCCTAGTTCACATGGTGTGAACTTCCACGTTGATAGCCTGGTCTCAGCTGTCGACCAGAGCTGCCCAAGCTGGGCAGAGCCTGGCTGTTGGTCAGTATGGCAGAAAGACCCCAGCCCCTGGTCTCCCTGACAGAGCCCTGCCATCCTGCTGGACCCCCATAGGGCACAAGGCCCCTGGGTCCTACCTTGTTGTGGACATTAGCAGGGATCTATTCCCCTTGGAAACTGGCAGTTGTTTTCACTCTGACTGTCTCGTACACACACACTGAAAAGGGATACTCCTCTGTTGGTGAGCGGCATAGTAGATCGTTGCCTTGGCAGCAAGTTGGCCTGGTTAGGAGTGAGCACTGGAACAGAACAACGGGAGGAAAAGGAAGCTGAGACATGCAGGAATTTTTTTCACTCAATTTTATGTAGCCTCTTCTGAGCCATCAGGAGAGGGAAAGCCTCTGTGAATGGCTGATTGGAGGATCTTTTGCAGCTTTTAGAAGGGCCATCTGGGTAACATTTAACCTGCTTCTATCTTACTTCAATAAACAATGAACATTTGGAAAAAGGCTCTTTTGTGTCATGCAAGCATGTCTATTCAGCTAGTCCTGTTTCTCCCATACAGACTGTCTGGGCTGATGTTTGGGAGAAGAGTTTAATGAATTGGCCATGGTCACTAAGTTTTTTATATGACCTGGGTCACCTTGCTTAGTTGCATTTGTCAAATTATAAAGCATTTTGAATGAAAGGACCCATGTAAGTACCAAGCATTATTATTAATTCATTGAGGGATTTGAAAGAGCCTTACAAGCATGGGTGTATTAAATCTGAATGTGCTCCAGTAAGACCGCTGACACTGGGGATGAGCAAAATAATAATTTTGTGTACATGAGAAACACAGTTCGTAGTAGTAGGACGACCCAACAATGTAGTACAGGAAGTTAAGAAAAGTACAAGTTCATTTAAGGCTACAGAGGGAATTAGGGTGACAAAAGTAATTGATTTGACTGGAACGTAGCCAAGTCATCCTGGTTGCAAAAGAACTTTTTAGTGATCAGGGATGGTCACAACATACATTCTCTATCCTGATCAGGATCTAGAACTGCTAGCAATGCAAAGCAAACTGTCATGAGGCTGGGACAACAAGGAGTTTTTCAGTCAGAACAGTGCTGTCTTAAAATAACCTGAGTCTTTCATGGAGATTGCCCACCTTTGGAAAAAGGCTCAGAGTTCCGTCTGTGCTGTGAATGTAGACCCTGTCAATTAATCAGAAAACTAATGGAGATCATTGATTCTGAAGCTACTGTCTTAAACAGCCTTTGTTTCATAAAGTGTATTATGTCTCCATAATAGTTATGTTGGCATCTGTCTTTTGCCAATATATTTTGCTGCTACCTATCTGTGGTGATGACTAGCCAGAGACTAATAGATAAATGCATGGGTACATCACTGTTCCCAAGGGACACATACTCGTGTTGTAGCACAGACCACTGCTCTGAGTGTTAGATTGCCTTGAGCTCAGTCTCCTCCAAGACTCTAATAGTCTTTGGTTAGAGTGGCGTTGTCTGTGCAATGTTCTGTGGCATCTCTCTGATCCTCTGCCAAGTAAGCATCCTTAATTTGGATATTAAGCTACATAGACTGTGATATCCTTAATTGCTCTACTGAAAAAGTAAACCTGAGAGGTATCGTGCTAAATGTGTCACTTTCTGATCTTCATGGTTTGAATTTGTCATTGCTTTTTAGTTACATGACTACTGAGATGTCTGCATATATGTACCTTTCTGGTATGTTTGTTGATAGGTGTCAGTCTGCTCTTATGATCAATGGGTGCAAATGGAAAGAAGAATTGTCTTGTTGCTGTCTGAAAAAGGGAAATGGAAAGGCAGGAATGCTGCCACATCCATTCTGGGTGATCAACCCAAGAGGAACAAGTCTCATTTTCAGAAGTACTGGTTTGGTCCTTTTAGTGACCAACCTGAATACTTGACTCCAGTGCATTATCAAGAACCGTAAAATGCATTGGAGAAAAAAGGAGCTCAGTTCCCTTTATAGTTAGTTTTCTTCTTGAAGCTTGATTCTTTTAATCTTCTGAAGGTGCTTCTGTGTCATTCTTTCTGTAGTAAAACACAAGTAGGTGCTGGAAACTCTATGAAGCATTCTTCAAATTTTGCAGCCTAGTGGATGGTACTTAGTGTCACTGATTTCATAATACTGGGCTTAAATCTGAGACCCGTCGAAGCAGGGCAGATCATGAAAGATGACCCTGAAAGCACCGAACTGGATAGTAGGTTGCTTCAAAAAAAAAAAAAACAAACCTCAAAAAATGGGCTCTAGTGGTAAATTATTAGAGGAACGCCAGGTATGGGGGGTATCTACATTTCATGAGAGTGAAGTGGTTTATGTACATTTAGGATAAAATTCTATTCAGTGTCTTTTGACTTCAATAGCACCAATGCTCAGATGTCAAATCACCAAATTGTCAGTTTGCAAAGCTGTTTAAAGTGCAAAGAAGCATAGGAAAGTTAAGATCATTGTTAATCTTATGAGTTATGAGCCTATGATGCTTTTGAAGGCAATGCAAAATATTCATATGTCATAATGTGGCATCATAGAGAACCTGCCGTGAGCTCTCCAAGATGTATTAATTTTTATTTACCATTGTGAATGAATCCTAGCTAAAATAAAATCAGGGAATAATGGTGCACTGTAGACAGGCTTCTTGCAGGGACAGCCCATGGTGTGTAAATTGTAGAGATGAGGTCAAGACTTTGGGACTATTCCTTTGACCCATGTAATGAATGATAAAGTTCACTAATGAGACAACAGTTCCGGTAAATTCAAAGTAGGGTAGAAGACTGGGAAAGATCAAAGGCTTTTTTTTTTTTTTCCCCTGGTCAGAGCTGTCCAGTTAACCCAAAAGATGCCAAAGAAAATCTGTAGATTTGCACAAGAAATGGGAGATTTCTGAGTAAAACAGGTGAATTTTCAGGTGATGTTAATTTATTTTTTTCTCTCCCCCTCTTCCATCTTCTTTTCTGGCTCTGAAGATGCAGGAATTGGAGCAGAGAGTGATAGAAGCAGAGCAAAGAGCTGAAGAGGCAGAGAAACAGGTAAGAGATTTTTTTTATGGTTGCTTTGATACAAATCCACCAGTAACTTCCTCTAAGTTCCTTCCGGCCTGGCATACAGACAGCACTCTGCCGTGCTACGCCCTGCTAGGGAAACATTGATTTACAGTAGTGAATGGATTTTCTGGTCTACTTGCCAGTCTTTGAGCCTTAGCTGTGACCAGGTGCCTGAATATGTTGAACCCTAAGTGAAAAGTAGCACCTTAGATCTGCCTCTCAGCATCACAGCCTTTACCCCCTAGTCTGTGATAGGCGTGCTTGGTTATGGAAAAGGAAGGGGATGTTGTATCTCAGGATTAAAGCACAAAGATAGAGCTACCTGGCAGGTCCTCAGAAAACAAATACTTAAGAGTACTGGTAAGGACTTGTCTACAAGTAGAGAAGCTTCTATGAAAGAAGTAGGTTTTGCAGACACACCCTTATCACTTGTTTTGGACATTCTTTATAGTTAATTACTGCTCTGGCTTAGGAGCCCATGGAGAAAAACAGTGAGTTGGATTCATTGCCTGTTACTGGAACCATCTACAAAATTAGGCATGTTGTCTAAGCTAGTCCTTCTATGCTTCTTGAATAATGGAGAAGGGGAGAGACAGCGAGACTTCATCTTGTGAACAGGCTATAAAGAACAAAGGACCTTTGGGAAGCAGACTGTTGTACTGTAAGGAGTATTATAGAAACAAAAGAGCCAAGAAGGGCTAAGTGGTCTGGGCTCTTGCATCACTGCAGAATGCTGCTGAAGAGAAGGTTTGAAGTGAAGCAGCTCCCTCCAGCTGGACAAGGCTGCAGGACTGAGCATTGAGTCAGAGATTAAAGCACAGAACTAAAAGCTGTACAGGATGGCCGAGAATGGCTGTCAAAGATGACTTCAGTAGTGAAGGACTGAATAGGCAGTGTTATAAGCACTGGGAAACATATTGCCTAGGAATCAAGAACTTGAAGTACTGGGAAAGGTATTCTGTCTGCAAAACATACTTTTTCATGCCAGTTTGATATTGACATCAAGATTTTTTTACTGACCATTTTAATTATAGGAAAGATGCTATGTCTAGATACCACACTGTTGGCTTCTATGCTAGATCAGCAACTGCCAACCAAGAACAAGAATTATTCTTGAGAGTGGTATCAGTAAGTTCACACCCAACCAAGGTAGGCAAAGGTAACATAATGCAGGCAAAAATGACAGCTGTGACAGCACTAGCAGGAAATACAATTATTACCACAGGCCAGTGAAGAAGGTTTCATACTAGCAGACACTTGAATGATAGGAGTACAGTGTCCATGATATGGTAAGATGCAATGACAGCAAGGGAGAAGATGGAGAGCAAGTCAAATCCAGGTCCAAGAATGGGCAAGAAAGGGAGGACTTGTCTGGGAAGGTGTAGCAGAAATGAGGGTTGCCTTCACTCACCTGCCACCTGCAGAAATGAGGGTTGCCTTCACTCACCTGCCACCAGCAGTTCTGTAGCCATATGTTGGCAGGTCCTAAAGACTAGCAACCCTCAATGTTTGCCTTTACAGCAGCCTTATCCACATCCAGAGATAAGTGTTCCTAGAGAAATACTTCATTGCTGCCTGACAGCCTGAAGAAGTGACAGCATAAGAGCAGGACCGTTCCCTTTCACTAATGAGTACATTCACCATGAATGAGAAGCAGCTGACAAATGAGAGGGCTCCACATCAAGTGCAAAATCCCTTGTTATCTTTCTCTCCAGGAGTCTGGGGGGTTGGATTTATTAATTCAATGGACTCCCTGTAGCTGCCAACCTCAATTAAGGAAATCACATGTTTGCAGTCCCCTTGCTGAGCCTCTAGTACAGAGTCAGCATTTGGGCATCAGACAGAAAGGATGGGCCATTTCTTTTTACTGTAATCACCCTAAACTCTAATGAAAACACATCCGACTCAGCAGGCTTAGTTTTCTGGCTCAGATGTTGGGCGCCTACCTTTCTGATTCAATATGAGGAAGAGGCAGTAGGTTTCTCTGCCTAATACAGGCAGACAGGAGGACAAAACACAGCTTCTGCAAGTATGAAGTGTAGGCTGCTCAGCAGAGCATGAGTAACTCTCTTGCAGAGACGTGCTCGGATTGCTGCCTGCGTTTTGTCTTTCTGGTTTTAAATTCATGCTAAATTAATGGTATCTGGAGTTGGTTTCTTTACCGATTTAGCTTCTTTGGGAAGAAGCTGGTGTTGGAACCAGATATTTTCCCATCATCAAATTCTGCAATTAGCACATTTGAGTTAAGGGGATTCAATTCATCTTTATATAGTCTTTTAATCCTTTGCAATAGAATGAAGTAACAGTAAAATGAAGTGTCATTACTGAGAGACATAGGTTTTGAAGAAAGCAAAGAGATTTTAAAAACTTTCTGAAAACCTGAAATGCTTCAACAGCAGCTAGATTTTAGTGCATTGAAACTTTGTAGTGAAGGAGCATTACAATGGTGTTTCTCTCGCTGAGATGAAAAAGTGTTGGCACTGGCAGGAGCTCAAAGATAGGCAAATCTTCTGAAATATCTAACATGGTAACTCCTTAGTAGGTCTGGAGAAAACACTTGTCAGAAAGACAGAAGTTGCTGAAACACTTTTGGTTTGTTGAAACACATTGGTTTGTTTTTTGTTGTTTTGTTTGTTTTTTTTTTTAATCTCCTTCTGATTATTATTATAGGTCAGAGTTATGGAAGAGAAGATAAAACTAGCCAATGTGAAGATTTGTGAATCAGACAGCACCCTGTACAGGAAATACCAAGACCTGATGGGCACAGTGCAAGGAAAAGAGGATCTGATCAGCAGATTGGAGACAGAGCTAGCAAAACAGGTAGGGATATTTTCTACAGGGAGACCTGCAGCTTTCATGAGTTAGAGAGATTCTGTAATGTGTGGTTCAGAGGTATGGATTATATCTTTTTGCACGTTAGCCTCTCAGTTGCATTCAGATCAGCTCTAAAATGATGCCTGCTGAGTACGAGATCCTCTCTTCCTTTTCACACAGAACATCCACTCTGCTTCAGTAGTCCATGTCTCTTCATTATAGGGGATCGGTCAATGTGTTTAAAGGGCTTCCTTATGTTAGTGTTGAGACCCTAAATTGTAATGCTACCATCTGGTCACAGTGTTTCTCTGGCTTCCTAGCATATAGATTGCTTTACAAAATCATTATGTAGCCCATCTCTGACTCTGTTTATGCTGCTTCTTGAGAAGGGTCTTTTCCCAGTCTTCAGCAATCCTTTAACATAGTTCATCTTGGAAGAAGTTCTTTAGAGAGAGTGATTGGGCATTGGAATGGGCTGCCCAGGGAGGTCATGGAGTCACTGTCCCTGGAGGCATTTAAGAAGAGTCTGGATGTAGCACTTTTTGCCATGGTCTAGTAGACAAGGTGGTGTTGGGTCAAAGGTTGGACTCGATGGTCTCAGAGGTCTTTTCCAACCTAGTTGATTCTGTGATCTCTCGTCAGATGTCTTCATTGTAAAAGAGCAGCTGTTTCCCAATATGGATACTTCTTAGTCTCTTCCATTTTCAGTTGGTCGAAGGAAGGAGCTAGTTCTACGGCAGGGCTTCTCTTTTGGCTCTGGTAAAGGCTTTCCTCTGTGGTTTGTATAGCATGAGGAATGAGGTATTCCTATATGTTGCTAAGTAAATTACTTTTAAATAGAAATAACTCAGTAGAATTTTAAACCAAACAAAAACCGGCCATTTGAGTTACATTTAACTAATTGACACCTATTTCAAGGACTGTTAGTAGAAATCTTCCTGTCCCAGCAGCAAGAGGCAAAATGAGATTCTAGAAATGAAAGCCAAAGCTTGACAATTCCAGAGAAGAAACACTCTTTGTCAGAGTCACTGGTTTAGTTTCAGAATGGGATGAGATGGTGGCAATGCTAGAAGGTCACTAAGGATCTCTGTAAGGCATCCTATTTGTTTTCACTAGGATGGGAAAAGCTGTGGAGTTCAGAGTGTTATTAAGAGAACACTGAGGTCATGTCTGGACCACACAATAGTGTGGGACACAAAGAATCTCTAATTGCCTTTGGATCTTAAAGCACAATAACTGCTATGGGTGCCGTGCCTAAGTGATTTGGTTCTGCTTAGAAGCAGGGCTTACTAAGCTTGATGACAATGATGGTGTCATACTGTTATTCTACTTTAGGACCTAAATAAAATCTTGGCATTGCACTTTGCCATGTAGCATAGTAATATTCTGAATCTTTTACCTCTTAGACCCTGATTTGAGACTAGTCCAGATCATTAGGAATTCAAAGCCATTTCGCGTATGACAGATATTCAGAGATGGTAGGTCTACTATATGTGCCAGATCATTTCAGACCTGTAGGCACATCTAGTATTCTGACTCCAGCAGAGGTTGAGACCTGATGATTAGGAACACACACAGTCATATAAAAGGGAAAAAAGCTAAATAAATCCTCTTCTTAAAGCATGTTATTTGATTGCTTTTATTTCATTATGCTCAACTACAAATGTTACTGCTACCTATAATGTTGCTAAGGCCTGTTTTAAAGTCAGCAAACATACTTGAATAGGAACATTTAAATGTGCAGTTGTGGTGATAAATAGCATGTAGTGATTAAAAGTGATGTGAAGATGTGGGGAATTTTACACAGTCTACTGTGTATTTATATGGTATTCATCAGTTTGAAAAACTTAAAGTGGGGGGACGCACTGACATCTTTATTATCATAATTACCAGTATTTTTTCACATCAGGAAAAGACAATCTAGCAGGGAAACCACCAAGTGCTACCGAAAGTCTTTGCCCATTAATTGGAGAAACCAGAGCTGAATGTACCATATAGCATATATTCCTCCTCCCTCCCTCCCTTGCTCCTAGAACTGATTTCTTCTTGCAGATGTTTAAATCATTATGTAGATAGGAGAGCTTTCAGTGATGTTGCTTCTGATGGAGCTACACAGGAGATAAACAGAAGGCTTCAGATGTTCATGGTATTAATCCAGCATCTTTCAAAGGAAATTTCCAAAAAAGTTAAAAACATGGCTGAGAAAACGCAGCTGCGAAAACGATGTAGCAATATTGCACAAGCAGATATTTGGGGGGAAAATGTTCATTGTGCAAACAAACAGTATTGCCATAACACCTCTGTGCGGACTAGAACCTGTTTTAATGGGTATGTAAAGGTACAACCACATACACCATCTGAAAACCTCCTAGCAGGTCTTAGTGTTTCAAGGTCAAGTTTTGGAGCTGGGTTTTTGGTTTTGTTTTTTTTTTTTTCCTCCTAGTTTACTTTCTCAATGAAAATATTGTGTGTGTGTGTGTTAAATACATTGTTGGTATTAGTTTCCATCTTGTGTATCTTGAAAGTCTGTGCCCTACACCTGTGCTTACAGCAGTTGAATCCCTTTTGCTTGGAATGATTAGATTTTATAAAACACTTATAAGCATTGCTTAATTCTTACTAACTGTGGGCAATAATGTGTGTGTAGGTTGGGGTAACACTACAGATGTCAATAGCAAACAGCAACATTACAAAACCATCTGAAACAGAAAAAGTTGCAGATTGTACTCAAACTCTGTTAGGTGAGCAATCATTACCTGAGCTGGATTTTGCTATTCCAGAACAAACTCTTGAAACAACTCTCTGAATTTAACTCTAGAGACCATGTAAGACAACTTAGAGCTTGATTTTTTTCAAAGGCCAGCTAAATAATAATATCCAATTAAGTCTTAAATCTTATATCTGGAATGGGAGCGTCAGTGTTTCAGTCGCTCCCGGTGCAGTAACTTACTGAGAACAGTTCGTTGTATTCTCCTAATGTGTGTAATGTTGGTTTTGGTTTTTTGGCACAGAAACAGTTGAGGACTGAAGAAGCCAAAATTGTTCAAGAGAAAGCTGCCAAGATCAAAGAATGGGTAACATTTAAGCTCAGGGAGGTAAGTCTCTAGCTTACTGCCAAGTTTCAAGGCTTGTGAGTAGGTACAGTGGCTGCACTGCCAGTGGGCTCCTGTATAGGACAGTACTTTGAGGATGGTCAATCTGCCACAGAGGCTCTCTGCTTGCTTGGCCCTATGCATACTCTGTTGTAGAGCTAGGGTCATCACTCTTGGGTGAGGGCTATTGACTTTATTGGGCAAACTATAAATGACCGTGAAGTCACCAGTGCCCAAAAGCAGTCTCTGAAGAAGATTTAGTAGTCACAAGTGGCTTTCACCTCGCTTTCCTCTGCCTCTCTCTTTTTTCTCTGGGTGCAGTTTCTGTCTTTCTGACAAACCAACTGTAACACAAACATGTCCTTTGCTCTGCCTTAATTTACCATCTCTGACTAATGGTGTTTTCCTACTGCCCAGTATTTTCTCTAACGTTTCTGTCCTATCCATCCTATGGACTTGTGCCTCTATCTGGGCCTACCTTCTAGAAAAACAAAGATAGTGGTCAGCATGCAGTTTTGAAGATGCAGTAATAGTTTACAACTGGGAGTGGAGCCATCTGGTCTTTTATTCCAAGTTAAAGACATGTATTTCCCAGTTTATGCCAGAAAGGGAATTTCTTGAAGTTGGAAGAAGAAGTCTTTGTGGGCACTAATTATGTTATTATGGGACTTTGTAATATCATTGAATTACCTAGATATTTCATCAAGCTGCTGGGCTGCTTCTCTTTCATTTTCCTGTATGAGATAACTTAAGGTGCATTTACATTACTGACTGGTGCAGCACAAAGAAGAAGCACGGGGATTAATTTGGTGTGGTCTGCTGTGAATCCAGGGCCATACATTCACATTATGTCTTTACTGCCAATGAAGTTTGTGCCAGATGCTGATTCTAGGTGCGTACCATGCAAAAGTGGAGCACTGCCAATTGGAGAACTTGGAGTCTGTGTTGCAAATGGGTTACTCTAGACAGCACCACTGGTGTGGTTTCAACTTTGCCATCAAGAAGGAAGCCTGCCTGGGTGCACCACTGCTGTGTTTAAGAATGGATGCTGAGACACTTAAAGTAAAGGCATAAGGCAAATTTGCAAAGAATCTCTCATGCCCTAGCTGGAAATGTAAATGCACCCTTAACATTTGTTGGCTTTTTTCTTTGGTCCCCTTCTTTTGCTATATACAGGGTGAGATGGAAAAACGCTCCTTCGGGGTAATGCTTTTTTTGATTCTCTCTTTCGTGACAGTTATTTCTGCAACAGGAGTAAATGATAAACAATATCATGGAAGTAAATTAGAAGGCCTGTTTGAGAAGCACAATGGTATATGCAGAGGCTGTTTGAGAAAGCACAGCTAAATCTTTAAGTGGGTTGTCCAGTGCAGCTGCTGAGTAGAAGGATTTCAAGATGACTGGTAGACTCACACATCATTTTTTTTCCTTGTTAAGACACTTGAATGTGGTAAAGATGAAGACATATTCTGTATAGTGGATCACTTGCACACACAGTTTTGCATTATATTTCAGTTTTTATTATTGTTTTTTCATAGCTTGAGCTAGAGAATTACCACCTGAAAACTTGTAATCAGAGGCTGATGGAGCAAATTGAAGCCCTTCAGGATACATTGCAAGGTAAATGTGCTCACCTGGCATTGTAGCCTAGTAACCACCACAAGAGTGGAAGTTAGCATTCCCAGGTTGTATTCTTAATTTTGTCAGAAATTAACACTTGTAACAGCAAGCAATGGAATTGCTCTGTTCCTCAGTGGATCTATTTTTAAGATGGGAATACCATGCTTACCTGCCTTAAACTCTTAAGTGTTTTTCCACTAATGATTGAACACAGAACCCTTTTCTAAAAATCTGCTTTTGCCATTAAAATAAGCCACTGAGCTCCTGAATTAGAAGCATTCATTGAAGTACGTAGTAAAGTACATTCACTTCAGTGCTGGAGGGGAGAAGTCCCCGAGGTATTTCACTTTACTTCCACATGTGAGTCATTCTCATCCCCACAGAACCTCTGCTGTCATGTGAGCTGAGTAATTGAATAATCCAAGGCAGCAGATGTCTGGTCTGCCTTTAGGATGCTGGGATCCTCTGTGCTATCAGGTTGGATTGGAGAAAGCTGCTTATGGTGTTTGGGCTTTTGCAGTTCTTCTCTGGTGGACAGACAGAAAAACTTAGTCTCCGGGGCTTGTATTCAGCACCTTTCATTGCAACACACTTTGCAGAGGAAATTCTCTCGTAACGATTTTCTTCCTTTTAGTTTTTCATGAGCTTGGTTTGGTCACAGTAAGATAGCTAGTTTCCAGAACTTCACTGGGCATGCAGGCAGGGGGCATTTCTTTCCTGCAGAAGTCTTCCCGGCATTCCTATCACTCCACAGCAAGGGAATAGGGCAAAATTCCTTCTAAATCCTGCCATATTTCTAGCGAAATGCTTTATGACTGGGTTTTTCTCATCCCCTCTGGCTCTGACTGTTCACAAAAGGAGAATGCCTGGTAAGCTGCGTTAATAATCTGGTATTAAGTGTTCCCTGGATCCCAGCTCTCTGGGCAGTAAACATCACTGCCCTCTCCTCTTATGCCTCACTAGTCTCACTATGCCAGGCTGAAGTCAGAGGCCTCTGCAGAGAGACAAATCTCTTCTTACTTGCTATGCTAATAGTAACAGCTTCCTCTTCTTAATCTCCTGTCACATCTAGGAGGCTGCAAAAATATCAGCAATATTTAAAATGAATGCCTCTTTTCAGTCTACACTAATGACTTACCTCAGGGTCAGGGGAAATGTGTGCCAAGATTTTTGTGTGCCAGTGGTATGTGTTAGCTTTGTTAACATTCAGTTCCTTGTGACTCAAGCACCAAGGTCTCATGGTTGTCTTTTTCTCAGCAGGTTTCATCCTCTCCACTGTCAACAGTAATGTATTCTACTGTTTGCTCTTCCCTCTGTAATTTTGTGTCTTCAGTTTGTTTCTACTTCCTAATTCCTTAACCGTTGCTGGTTAAGCAACACCCATAGAGTTTGATGTTAAGGCAGCATTTTCAGCGATACCTATGCAGAGTCACACTCACCCATATTTTGCAATTTCTAAAGCATCTAATGATTTGGTGCTTTTTCAGTCAGACAGTGTATAAATGCCAACATCAGTCAAACATCCTCTGCCACTTCAAGTTTTATCCACACTTTCTCATACCCTAAAGCTACTATTCAGAAGAAATTGTAGAACTGAGATAGTCTTTAAATCTGGTGATTATGGAAAGGAAAAAATACAAGAATTATAAAGGGTAGGTACTAAATAGAAAAAGGACAATGGAAGCCATCTAGGATCTATTTTTTATGTCATCTTCTAATATAGCAACTGAAAGGGCAGAGAAAGAACTAAGAAAAAAAAAGATTTTACAGCAAAATCATGTAAGAAACTATTATAAAACTTTGTGACAAAAAGCACTGCGTGGGTCATATAGCACAAAAGGATAGCAAAAAGCTCTAGGGAGATTCTTGAAAAGAGAGTAACCTCACTGATTGGTGTGATGCTTAAGAAGATCTCCATACCTTTCCTGGAAGTCTCATGTAGCCCTTGGGAAGGGTGGAATCATACCATCTTATTTGATGACTTAAAACACTGTAGGTCCACTAAAGCCAAAAGCAATGCTAAGCAGTGTTCTGGCCACTTGGATGTTATTTGACAGTATTGTCTGGTAAATGCACTTCCTTCTCATGGCTGTTTTAAGAGAAGAGACATAGTTGTATATAGGTAAGAGTAAAAACTGTTATATTGCATTAGACTGAAAGCTTGCCTAGGCCTGTATCCCATCTCCTGGCTGTTTGTGGATGTTTCAGGACAGAGTGTAGGAAATACTGCAAGTAAACCTGCCCTCCTCTCCATTTACCCTTCCAGCTTCTGCTGTCAGTAGTTTAGGAAATTTCTCGGCCAGAGCTTCCATACTACTGATACATTAGTTTTTCTGGCATATCTGCAACATTGTATTTCCTTTTTTGTCTGGAAAAAACCCTTCCTTCTGTAAATTTCAAATGCGCTGCTTGATAATTTCATTAGGCACCCCTTAATTCTACTTTTGTAAGAAACAGTGATTAATCATTTCCTGCTCATCTCTTCTGTGCTATTCCCAGTTATAAATGTATAGCACTTTTGTTATAACTGTGCCCAGCAATCTCTTTCCTGTTCTGTATAGTCCTAACCAGGCCAGGGTGTTATTGAAATACAACTGGCATGAACATACACTAGGAAGCAACAATTAAGACATTAAAGCATTTGAATGCCCTAACCATATGTTCTCCTCCCTCGTAGATATGACCAGCATTCCTCCCTTTGAATCTCTTTGGAGCTGTAGTTCCCTGAAGCCTAGAGCATCACAGGCCTCTTTTGCTGAGAAGATAGGCCAGGAATCTGTGCTCCTTGCACCTGGTTTCAGAGAGGTGCGTCAGACAGGACCTACCAAGCATGTCCTTTCTTCAGCAAATACAGTCCTTGCCAATGACACCTTTACTGAGAATGGAGAGGATATATCTCTGCTTTCCCAGAATAAGCTGAACCTCGTGTCTGACCCATCAAGCTGGAATCTCTCCACAGAGAAGGATGTATTTCCAGCCGTAAGTTCTGAACACGGTTTAGGGTGCTCTGATCCTGTATCAGTGGACCCTCCAGCTGAGACCACAAGAATTCTTGAGGCTTTGACCTTCCAGTCATCTTTGAAAGAAAACGGTAGTGCTGTGAGCACCTTGAAACAAGTGGGTTTTGATGGCACCCGCTTCTCTGATGATCTGAGTGCCAGATTCCACTCCCACCGGCTGGAGTCCTCTTCCTCAGGAGAAATAATGAGCATGCTTGAGGGCCGTCTCCAAACTGCTGAACCACCCCTGGTTGTGTCAACATCAACTGTTACAGTGCATTCCTCCTGTGCAGGGAGGGAATGCAGCCTTGGGACTAGTATGACCTTTCCAAAAATACGAACACCCAATACACCAAGAGACAGTATTCAACTGGCCAAGAGACATCACAGCCAACCACAGCCAGGGGCTAATTCCTTCCATCATGTAATGCACTTAGAGACTAGCACTTTCCAGCCCATAACAGACCCTCCAGCCTGCCATGGGCTCGTGGAGGAGACAGATATTGATGATGATGGAGTATTGGAGAAGATGGATACAGAATGTGGACTGCTGAGGGAAGAAGCTAGAGCGTGTGAGGAAACGTACCACTTACCTGCAGAGCAGAGAGAAGCTGTGAGTTCTGAGGCTGGCATACTTGACCCAGGAGGTAAACCTCCAACACCACCGCTGCACAGATTCCCATCATGGGTAAGAAATGCAAGGACGACAGGCTGAGAAGTGGTGCTTATCTTTGAGTAGTGCCCAGTAGTTAGGCTACAACAGCTCAAGCAGTTGTTACCTGTGGACATCACAGGTTACATTCTTGAAGCACCAAGTCTGACAGTTCCAGCATGACAGGGGCATGCTGGTTCCACTGACAATTTTTTTTTTTCTCCTTTTGTCTTTATAAGGGGAAAAAAATTCATGGAAAAAAACAGTGCTCAAGAAACACAGGAATATAAAGGGAAGTCAAGAGGTGCTGCATTGTGGTTTATCATTATGGGTCATCAAAAGTTAGTCCTTAGTTCTGTTGTCACATGTGTAAGATAGAAAAATTACTCATAAATGCAGTGGACCAGACAAGATAGCTCCAGAGTGAGAAAAATCTGTGAATACTAGAATAAATACATGGATTAGATCTCAGCATTCCTATCTCATGGTATGCTTCTGCTATTAGGAAAATTTTGTGAAAGCCTTTGGTAAAGTGGTATACATGTCCTGTTGCTTACAATATGTGAGAAAGGGGTTTGTTGTTCTTGCTTTCACTTACTTGTTAGCTGGATTGTTTACTAGTCATAGAATTGTTTAGGTTGGAAAAAAGAAAAAGCCTTCCCCTCAACCACTGACCAGGTTACCTTGTCACAGAAGGAGATCAGGTTGGTCATGCAGGACTTGTCTTTCATAAACCCATGCCAGCTGGGCCTGATCAATTGGTTATCATGTACATGCTGTGTGATGGCACTCAAGATGATCTGCTCTATGACCTTCTCTACCACTGAGGTCAGGCTGACAGGTCTGTAGTTCCTCAGATCCTCCTCTGGCCCTTCTTATAGATGGGTGTCACATTTGCCAACTTCCAGTCACCTTTGACCTCCCCGGTTGACCAGGACTGCTGGTAAATGATGGACAGTGGCTCAGTGACCTCTTCAGCTCCCTCAGCACCCTCCTGTGGATCCCACCTGGCCCCATAGACTTGTGCGTGTTTAAGTGGTGTTAGCAGGTGGGTGAGCATTTTTCCTGGGATCGTGGGGGCTTCATTCTGCTCCCTGTCCATATCTTCCAGCTTGGAGGGCTGGGTACCTGGAAAACAACTGGCTTTACTGTGAAAGACTGAAGCAAAGAAGGCATTAAGTACCTCTGTTGTTTCCTTATCCTTTGTCACTATGTTTCCTACCGTATCCAATAAAGGATTGTTATTCTCCTTTTGTTTCTCATGTATTTATAGAAATCTTTTAGTGTTTTTTACTGCAGTAGCCAAGTGAAATTCTAGTTGGACTTTGACCCTTCTAATTTTCTCCCTGTATAACCTGCCTGTAGTCCTTCTAAGTTGCCTGCCCCTTCTTCTAGAGGTCATAAACACCCCTTTTTTTACTGAGTTAAGCCAAAGCTCTCTATCCAGCCAGGCCAGTCTTCCTCACTGTCTCATCTTTCAGCACATGGGAATGGCCTACTCCTGCACCTTTGAGATTTCCTTCTTGAAGAATGTTCAGTTTTGCTGGACCCCTTTGCCCTTCAGGACTGACTCCCAAGGGACCCTGTCAACTTTGGCTCCTAAAGAGGCCAAAGTCTGCATTAGTCTAACCTGGTGGAGGTCAATGTAGTATCAAAAGAGATGATTTTGTTGTTTTTATTTGCTTTTTTAAAAGGCATGGGCAAACAAGTGATTTATTGAAGGTGCAAAGTCAAACACTCATTGTTAATTCTTATGTTTTATAAATTTATTTTCAAGGAAAACTAAATGTTAATTGTGGTCTTTGGCTGTATCCTTTATGATACCAATTTAAACGCCAGTATAATCACATCTGCTTTTCCAAAGGAATTTCTTTTCTTTCAGTCCATAATATGGAACTGTGCTGGGAGTGAAGGTGGATAGTGTGGTAAAAGAAACTGCAATTTTTCAAGATGTCTGTTTCATTTGCTGCAGAAGTCAGAAAGGTGTCAATGAACAGGGTACTCACTTGGAAGAAGGGAAATATGACTCGGAGATTGGCTACTATTCCTGTCTCTGATCTAGAGTTCCCATATAAAGTTCTTCTGGTCTCTTAGGCTTGATTTTTCACAGGTGATTATCAGCTCCACACACATTCTTCTGAATGTCTAACTTGAATTTGGCAACTAAATTTGATTACAGAAGTGCTGATCACTTCTGTGCTGCAACTGTATTAATTTGTTTTCATTACAATGTTTTATGATGCTAAATTCTCAAAAAGTCACATCTTGGACATCTTGAAATGGGTACTCCAAAGTTATTCAGTACTTCAAAGAACTTATGTCTGAGTTCTTCGGAAAAACTTATGTCTGAGTTCTTCTGATAGCACCTATCACTGTCCCTCCCAGGGTTAATGTAAATTTTTTTATTAATTTTTGTGAAGCATTGCATTATTATTGTCAGTAACACATGAAAAATCCAGTATTTTTTCTTCAGACTAGAATCAAGTAAATGTATCCAAGTAGGGCAAATTTAAGTGTAGTAATTTAAGTAACAGTAAGTCATGAATAGAATAATAAATAGTAGCATAATCAGTAAGAAATATCCATTACATTCCCTGAATAGGAGTTGTCTGGGGAAAAAGATTCACGTAGTATTTCATTAGAAACTAAATTTCAGTGCAAATACGTACAGAAAATACTTATTCTGTAATTTCTTTTTTTGTCTGTGTGTACTTGACTTTGCAGTCTTAGGTACTTCCATGTGTATGTATTGTGTGCTATGTGTGCTATGTGTGATTGGTTGTATGCTTTTAGGAGCAGCAAGAGGTTCCCTAGCTTTGGATTTTATCCATTTCAGAATGGTTAATGTCTTAGTCACAATACTGCATTTAGATACAGATTTGGGTTTTCCCGCTGGAATTGTTACCAATTCGTGAAGCACTTGGAGAGCCTTTGAACTGAAAGCTCCGTATGTTGTTATAACTGAGACACAGGCTTATTGAGATCATTCCAGGCATTTCTTTCATTCCGTTATCAGAGAATGAGCATCCTTGCAGGTGGTGACTCAATAAATTGTCCTGGTTTGTGGCAGTTCTTTATTCATTTTAATGCATTGTTTATAAAGTGGAAAACTCCCATCTTTTTCCAAGCTGTGATATAGTAATTTATTGATAATTGCGTGTAGGTGTTCCAGTCTGTGATATCATCTCTGTGAATCCCCCATATCTGTGGGGATTCACACAGAGTAACATGCTTCCACTAATGGTCATTCACACAACATAGGGTGGAATACAGCAATCTCAGAGAGCCCCTCCTTCCTGCCCAAAGGTGTGACTGTGGCGTGATTCTGTGACATGAGCGTTTCTTTCTGCAAGAATCACGTTTTTTCTGATCACTGTTGTTCGTGGTATTATTGTTTCAGGAGAGCCGAATCTATGCTGTGGCCAAGTCTGGCATGAGGTTGTCTGAAGTGACCATGGTGAATGATACTTCCAGATGCTGTAAGTGCTAGACAAGATCCATCCTTAGAGGGGGTTTATGGTGCCAGTGTGGTACCTGGGCTTCTGGCTGTTCACATGTCTTCATTTCCTTCCCTGTTTTCAAAGTAAATTTGATCTCATAGATAGCCATGATAAAGAAAGGACTGGAGGAGGACACATCTATCTCAGCAATGGTTTGTGCTGGGCTGTTTGTGCCTCTTTGTTCTGTGACATGTTTAGGGATTCCATTATCTCCTTCATTACTTTTGTAGCCACTCTTCTGCCTCTGCATGTCTGTGGCCTGCTTTTAAAAGTCTTATTCACCATCACTGTCCCCTGTTAGGGCTTTTATCTATTTGGACATGGGGCACCAGATTGCCATTGTACCATGGAGTGGGTAAGACATCTTACAGGCTAAATGGAGAGAACTTTGCGGCTCTCTGTGGGAGTTGTATGTAATTAATAACACATTCCTTGGCCTTTCTGAGGCCAGATTTTCCAGGATGGCAATCCTTGATATGCTTCTCCATTAAAACCTTCACTTTTTCACCAGTTTGTATTATTTGCTCTCTTGCTTTCTCTCTGAATTTTTCCAGTTTCCAATTTCTCGTGTTCAACTTCTGGGCCATTTACCTGTCTTATCTACAGAAACGTCACTGTGCCAGTCTACACTACACTGAAGGGGGTAAGGAGTTACCTCACTTTTCCTGTTATGAAAAGCATGGTCCAGGCCTGCTAGTAATTTTAGAGAAAACAGGATGAAGCTGTGCAGCGAAGGAACGAAAATTAGAGAATCTTGGGAAGCACTGGACACCAAAAGAATGCTGAAGGACTAGCAAATGATAAATGTGTTTAGGAATACAGAACACTGCAGCAGTTTTGGTCCAGGAAGCTGCAGTGTGCACTATGAGGCTGTAGAAACCTAGAGGTGATGGTGGGTGCAGCCTAAAGAATGAAATGGAGCACAGGGCTTGTGGAACAGTATGAGGGCGTAACCAGAGGAGACCCAAACAGATGGGACTAGACAGTCCAGCATGGAAGTTCTCAGACCAGAAGGGGAGGAAATGAAGAACCCCGGGGCAGAAGTGGGCAAGGTGTTGTGAAAATGAAGGGCATTGATTGCTCTGCCTCCTTATTGAGTAGGGATTGTCCTGAAGAAACTCTTCTCTCACACGCTAACCAATAGCGTGTCTAACACGTCTCTAACATGTCTATTTTCCAGAAAGCCACACAGATCAGCAACGTGCCTTTCTTAGACGAATCTTCAGGATCTGATGATGACTGTGGCTCCCATGCCAGCTTAAGGACTTCTACTGCTGGATCTGAGAACAGGAAAGCTAGCATGCCAGGCAGCCCTCGTGCAGTGAAAAGAGGTAAAGTGGGAGTATTGCTACTGAGCAGGATGAACTCTTGTCATGACAGGAGAGGCAAGATGCCCTGAACAGCATCATCAGTGACAGGCAAATGCTACTAAGGAATTCTCCCAGAATGTGTGCAGACATCAACAGCTACTCAGTAGAAATCTGTTCTCTTAGGTGGTTTTTACTGCTGATAGATTTCCATTCAGGCAATTGCTAAACTTAGATTGTGGGAAGGATTATCTCCCAAATTCATCACATATCCAGTCATCTGAACCTTTTCTGTGACTTTTCCTTGAAAGCAAACTAGTACTGGCATAGTAAAGAAAATGCTTTTTTTGTCTTTGTCACTGGCTGGTAATTGCTTGACCAGTAAGGAAATCTTTTGTATCTTTGAGAGGCATCAGGTACTTTGCGTACTGATTAGGACATTTTTTCTTATCTGCTGGGAAGACTAAACGGGATCTTCAAATGGAATTTTCATTATAATTGGTAGTCAGTAAAATAGAATCATATTTCATGTAGTCTTAACTTGCATGCATTGGCTGATGTATCTCTGCATTGCCATGGACCACTGGTGGAAGATTCACAGAAAGCAAAGCCCCATTGTTAGTGAGGGAGCCTTTTCCTTAACTGGAATCTGAGGGGCTTTAGACTCTATAATAGATGTTTAGAGCTGCAAACAATCTGTCTGTCCTTTAGATAACAGGTCTGTTTATTTTTTTTTAAATATTTTTTATTCTGTCTTTATTCAACAATAAATTTATTTCACTGTCAGTATCCAAAACTCACTTTCACTACTTGTGTTCCTAGGGAAAAGAGTTCTCAGAAGTCTGGTTAGTGGGGTTTGGGTTTCCAAAGTCTGATCTGATTTCTTCTTCTTGAACAAAAAAAGCCTTAGTGGTGAACTCAGAAACTTTTTCAGAGTGGGAAAAACTTCAGTGAATGCTTCTGTCTAGCCATGATTCTCATTCCTTCCTTTGTTTTAAACAGGTGTATCTATGTCCTCACTGAGCTCTGAGAGTGACTATGCCATCCCTCCTGATGCCTATTCCTTGGATGATGACTATTCAGAGCCAGAACATAAGCTACAGCGAACATCTTCCTATTCCACTGATGGTGGAATCTGCACTGTAAGTCTCACTACATTACAGTTGTAAAGGAATGCAAACAGAGCCTTGGCCTTGAAAAAGCATAACTACAATATATTGAGTTATCCCCTGCAGGTGCTCTGACAGACTGGGCTGTTGGTCCAGCTGATAGGTATCAAAAGACACTATCTGATGTTTCAGAAGAAGGTGCAATTTCTCTTATGTGGTTAGATTAAAGTATGTGCCTCAAGGGCTGTATTCTTTTCTGATGGCCTGTATTGATTTCCTGTAGTCATATTCTACTTTAATGATGGCCTTACACTTTTGGGACAAAACAAGTTTGGAAATTCAGAGGAAGGAATGAGACAGGATATAATATTTTGGCCTAGAAAAAAACCTCAAACACGGGTAGCATTAAATTCTGTACTCTTGAATGTGAGAGATCAAGCAGAGAAGGAACAGGAGTCTAATCATGGCATAGAGACAGCCTTCACTTTTGTTTGGAAAATCAGTGCTTTGGTAGGAGGACAAGTAAGTTTACAATGCATCAAACAACCAGTGAAATTATCTTCAGATGCTTTCTTTACTAAAGCAACACAAAGTGGTATTTGCAGCTACACAGATAGTTAAGGGCTCTCTCCAAGCTGAGCAGAGAGCACTGACCTTTGATGGCTGCTACTAAACAAAGCAGAAAATGATGGAGATGCAGAAAACATCTGGGCTTGACTTCAGCACACTTTCATTTGTATTTTGAGAGGTGCAGGATAATCTCCTCTCCACTTTGTTTTTTTCCCTCCAGGAACCCATGGAGAAATCAGGTTACTTGCTCAAAATGGGCAGCCAGGTAAAGATGTGGAAGAGACGATGGTTTGTTCTTAGAAACAGACAAATCATGTACTACAAGTCTCCGGTAAGTCACTGGGATACATTTACTATTCTCTGGAGGCACAGAGAAATACTCATCAGTCAGTACATGGGGTTCTGAGGAAAACTACAGCTTCCATGGGAAAGAAAGCTAGATTCTTTCATTTTTCACCCTGCTGCATGGACATGGAAATACTAGAAAACTAGGGTAAAATTGAAAATATTGTCATGCGGACAATATTTGTATGTATGATAAAATACTGCTATTGTTTGCCTTCATTATTCTGCTGTATTTAGCTACATTACAGAGAATTATACTTAGGGATGTTCACCTTCCACAATTTTTTCTTCTGGACAGTAATTTCCTCCATACCTGCATAATTGCACAGTACTTCTGTGTTTATACACATATTTGCTTACAAGTCAAGAATATTGAGAAAATTGATTTTCAACTTTTTCATTTTCTCAGTTGTCATATTCTAACAAGAAAAAATACATCCTAGGGCACAGGACATCTTTATTTCTGACACTGGGTTTATCCATCAGAATGCACAAGCAGATTGTACATATATATTATATTCATATATATATATACACCATATTCATATATATATATATATATATAATTTCATAAATACTTAGAATTTAGACTGTTGTTGGAAGTGATTTCTGGAAGACCCTAGTCCAACTAACACATTGAAGAAGGACTGTCATCAGCTGTAGATGGTTTTGTCTAGCCCAGTCTTGAAAACTTCTAAAGGTGGAAATTCAGCCACCATCTTGGTACGTGTTTGGTACTGTATTGCCTTCCCAGTGAGAAAGACTTTAGCCTGTTGGTGGTTTGGATTTTTTTCCTAATGTCCAATTCGAACTTCATAAGACAGTATTTGTCACCATTACCCTTGTTATATTGTCTGCCACTACTGAGGAGACTTGCTTCATCGTTGCAGTGGGATCACACTGTCTCATAGTCAACCTGGCAGGCTTCAGCTGTCCTTTCCATCTCATGAATGCAGACTCCGACCTGCACATGCATATTATGCTCTGTATAAGTACTCTAAGATCCATCTGAGGTTTCCTGCTGAAAAAACTGCTTTTCTTTCCTCAGAGCGATGTTATCCGCAAGCCACAAGGGCAGATGGAGCTGAATTCCTCATGCCAAATTGTCAGAGGTGAAGGGTCCCAAACATTCCAGGTAGGCATTGCTTTTTATCCTGCAGATAACCATACACACTCAGTGGCTGTGTGAGATAGTACCTAGGATCTCCTCTTTTTGAAAAACTCTTACAAGATCTCTAGCATGATTTTACATGCCTGGAGGATCTGAAGAAACATCTGAAGTGTTGGATTCCTACTTTTGAAGTACTAGAAGTTAGCCCATCAGTGGATTCAGTTTCACATCATTATGTTAGGGGACTTTATTATAAAGACAGCATTGAAGTTTCTCTCATACTCTGAAAGGCACATGGCCTGACCTGTGAGCTACCTTCTGCTCTTGTGGAATTGAAGTTGCTAAGACTTAATGCTGTTAAATTCATTGCATCTTTCCTTTCAGAGTCACAAGGTAGTGAATGCAGAATGCAATACAAAGTGAAGGCAGCAAAAACCCCACATTTATGTACACACCTTTAAAGTGAAAAATTAGCAGCAGCACTGAGAAACAAGAAAAGATGAGAGAGGACATAAAGCCTCAATATCCAAGAGAAACAGCAAGAGAGTCCATGAGAATTTGATTGATTTGAGTTTCATTTCTTTCACTTGGGCTTTGAGGATGAGCACCTTTTTTCTTACCCTCAAAAAATCCCTCCCGAATGACCAAAAAAAAAAATCTCTATGGGATAAAGAAACTCAGCAGCTGAAGAAAAGATTTGTAGGTGTGCAGATTTATATTTTCTCACTCCTTTTCCTTCCAGCTTGTGACAGAAAAGAGGACCTACTTCCTGACAGCAGACTCACCCAACATCCTAGAGGAATGGATTCATGTCCTACAGAGTATCCTGAGAGTGCAAGTGACCAGTCCTGTTGGTGTTCCTCACGGTGATGATAAACCTACTGTGAAAGGTTGGCTAACCAAGGTAAAATAATATTTCGTACTTTATTCAGTTTAGATCGGCATTGACAGTGTACCAGCTTCTTGGTTTGTACAGTAAATGTGAGCAAGAAATTAGTATTTCAATACTCCCTATAAGAGTAGGGAAAGAAAGAAAAGTGTCAGTAGATTTCTGCATTTCAAAGCAAAACATCTATATAAATGATAAGGAATGAGACAAACAAGGCTGCTGAAAGATACCGACTTTGTCAAATAGTAAGTAATAACAAATATCTAGCTTGTGTATGCTTTTCTTCAACAGAATTCATAGCATATCACAGCAAAAAAATCAGGGAACTGTTAAATGTTACATTTAGTTGGTCTGTAACTTGGAGAGTTCCAAGGAAATGGCTTGTATAGTTCTAGGTTAGCATTTATTCCAGTCATAACAGACTGCATGTACATTAGTGCAAAGTACAAAGGCTGAGAATTCTTATGCTTTATACCATTTCCATAGATTAGTTTTGCATTGCAAGTTACTATGAATATTTTAATATATTTCTGATTAGCTTCTAAGATGACTAAAGACAACCTGCATCTGAAAGTTGGTTGTCTGCAGCACAGGTTGTTCCCCACACTACAGGTTGACTGGTCTTTTCCTGGTGAGATGAACTGATTTGGTTTTATAATTTTAAATAGGTGATTCTTCATATTGTATCTCAGAATACAGAAATTCTTCATATTGTATTTCAGAAATGATAAATTGTGAATGAGTAAAATACTTCACAAAATCTTAGACCCATTTCCATAAGCACCTATGTCCCATCTACTTAGATTTACTTTCCTGCTTTTGGAAGTGGTGCCCTGTATGTTTTGAGAGAAGCTTTATATTAGCATAAGACAAATAACATATGCAAGGTTTTAAGGGAGAGTTGAATTGGAAGTTGAAATTCTAGAAAATTGTTCCAGCAACACTGCTGATGTTAAAAGCCTGTATTTCTTTGTCCTCCTTACAGGTCAAGCATGGTCACTCTAAGCTGGTCTGGTGTGCACTGATTGGAAAAACTTTCTACTACTATCGAAATCATGAAGATAAAGTAATTCCTTTTTCCCTTTTTATTTCTGAACTCTCTTTCCACATTTCTCATGAATCTTTCTTTCCTTTTGCTGCTTCTGTGTCTCATGCTTCAAGCTCTTCCTTGGTTGTACTTTTCCTCTTCTAACAGCATCTGTTCCACAAAGAGAATCAATATTTTCTCTGATTTTACTTTTTTTTTAAACTAGAATGACAGCAGACTTAAAAGGCAAGTGATTGAACTTTCTCATATCACTTTATATCTTGTTTCTCACTTTCTCCATTTGGTCTTGTCAAGCCTTTAGAGCAGACTTTAATACAGCAGCTGATATATCTGCATGCTGTCATGAAAATTAATAGCAACAATATGGGAAAAGGGGGGTCATTTAGTTAGTAGAATGTCCTTCTATTTCTGGAAGCTTGGGCCAATAGTACATTGCTTTGTCCTGGTGATCTCAAAACCCAAGTTTTAGAATATCAAGAAATACTGTTCATATTTGGGATTGACCTCCAGAGTTAGCACAGCAGATATCTTCTCTTTATCTTAATCTACTTACTTATGTAATTTTAGAAGTACTAATTTTCCATCAGCAAGCAGAAAGTCTGACCAGGATCAGAAAACAGTGGCTCAAGATACTGAGTGACATCAAGTGTAATGGGAAGAAAACAGTACCTTATGGGAAAAGCCATCTTTTTATTTGCATATTCTCATTCTGACCTGTAGATGCTCTCCCAAGAAAAATAATAAAAGTAGTGGCATACTTTCTAAGTGTCACACTTTATGAAAGAGAAGAGATTCTATAGAAATGCAAGATTACATTAGCTAAACACCAAATTTATTATTTATTCCTTACATTTTACAGAACTGCCAACATTTTGATGTGGCTTTTCTTTCCCAGTATTCCCTGCCTATACTGGAAGATTAGCTACCCTTATCTAACTCACTTCTGCTCTAGCTACACTTATCTAACTCACTTCTGCTCCTTATAGTGTCCCCTAGGGCATCTGCCTATGCGTGAGTCCAAAGTGGAAGAAGTAGACCGTTCCTGTGACTCTGATGAGGATTATGAAGCCACTGGTGGAGGATTTCTCTCATCCCACTGTACACTGGTGATTCACCCAAAGGACCAGAGTCCCACATACTTACTCATCCGCACCAAACAGGAGAAGGTATAAAAGACAGTCCTTTTTTTGGAGAGAAAAGTCTGTTTGGTAATAGTGAACAAAAGGGGCATACAGGCTGAACCTATTTGTAGAAAAGAGGTCTGAATTGACCCACACTGTTCTCATCTTTATGCCTAGAATACCTGGCTGTACCATCTGACCGTTGCAGCTGGTAGCAGAAATGCCACAGTGGGCACATCATATGAGCAACTCATTGGAAAACTACTGGATGCAGAGGGAGACCCTAGTAAGTAGAAACCACAAACTCTTCCATGGTAGCAAAGTATTAAGAAGAGTAATTTCAACTTTCAGTTTTAATCCAGCCAAAGGTGAGGGAAGGGGATTTCAGTAGTACATCATATTATATAATGTCCTTCTCCCCTAGTTCCCAGACAAGTCCATCTCATTGTCACATCATTTATCAAAGCCTCTGAAATGTATGTAATGTTAATTCAAATGAACATAAAGAACTGGAGGGTTTTTTTTTTCTTGGTTTTGTTGGTCTTGATTTTCCTTTCCAGGGAATCTTGACCATACAAACACATGCTCTTTCCTCTAAATACACTCACACACAATTACCTTCACATCTGTTTGTCTGCATGTATAAACCTTTACACATACATCCATGTTTGTGTGTTCCTCCTCATCTTTGATACATGCTCATGCACGTATATTTATGCACCATGTTCTCAAATATGTATAAACCTATGCATTTGTACTTAATCCTCTTTTCCTGCACACTCACATATTCCTGGACCTATATGTGAACCTTGCTTACTGTTGAACAGTGCCTTGCACTAAAAAAGAACAACACCAGCAGGCAGCTGCCCTGGCAGAGTTTGTGTCTCTGGTTTGAACACACAGCTGAACAGCTTCTTACCAGAAGAGCTGATGAGAAGATCTGACGTAGCACAGTGGAGGATGGCAATACTTTCTGCTGATGGCTAATGCTGCCAGCGACTCCTTATCTATGGCAGGCTTTGCTGAAAGCAGTGAAGTGTCACCAAATAACATGGCCTAGTGCAGTGCTGCTTCCTTGGGTGCTCTGCCGTTTCAGCAAGGCTCCTCGTCAACATCGGCCCTGTTGTCTTTCTTCTGTTTCTGACACTGCATGTTTTTGCCCATCTCCTACCTCAGATTCTCCTCTGTGGAAACATCCTATGTTGTGCTACAGTAAAGACGGGTTGCACACATCCCTCACCACTCTGCCATCAGAGGCTCTGCAGACTGAAGCTCTGAAACTTTTTAAGGTACTTAAAGGGACATTGCATGATTTTCAGTTATTTGGCTCTGTTGTTGGGGCAACAACAGTATTTGGTCATGTTTTCACATTTACTGTTGCTATTGGTTGTTTTAGACAAGCCTGCTGGGTTATTTAATTACAATAGGATAGTTGAATATTAGGTGTCATTCATTCTTTGGAGGTTTAATTTTTTTTGTGCGTAATCTGGGTTTAGGAGTACTGTCCCCCACAAACTTTATCCTTCAGAGTTAGCTTTATCTTCCTCTTTCCTCTCCAGTAGTTGAATTGAAGGAAATAGAAACAGTTTACTGGCAAACTCAGTAAGACCAGTGGTGGAGCCACTGGAGATTGCATTTTTGCACTCTACAAGTATAAGATCAGCAGTAGGACTGGACAGTGTGAGCAAGGTAAAGCACAGGCATGGAAAGCAGAAAGCACATTTTCCCCTTGATTCTCTTGCTGACTTGTAAGTTCTTCAGACTGGGGGAAGTTGAGTGAATTTTCTAGTTGCCATAACTGAAGAGGTAGGAATAGGAATTAAGTATTGATTCTCCTTCCTCCTCTCAAGGTTATTTATTAAATTGTCTGTAACGCGTCTGAAGAACCTGGCCTGGAAAGTACCAGAGAAGAGTTGCTGTATTCCTGGCATTGAGTAACTTCCATTCTTTTACAGTCCTGTCAGCTGTTCATCAACGTTCCCGTGGAGGCATCCTCTATTGATTACCACGTGTCGCTTGCCCAGACGGCACTGCAGGTCTGCTTGACCCATACTGAGCTGCAGAATGAAATTTACTGTCAACTTGTTAAACAGACCAGCTGCCGACAACCCCAGAACCACTCAGTCATTCAGGTCAGCTCCTCTTCTGTTACTTCCACTCTGCAAATACTGCTATTTAATTCCTTGTTTTTAATAATTAGCAATGGGACTGGTTCTCACAAAATTGTGCTAGCGCTAAAGGTGTGCTAGAGGAAGGAGAATCTCAGCATTGGTGTGCACAGAAAAACACTAAGAATGTAACCATGTGCAAAATAAGTTTTAGTTTAAATGTAACCATTTACCAGTTGCAAATGGTCTGTTCAGACCATATTCAGAATCAAAATTCATAGCTTGTGTTGGCTAGCTATAACTGTCACATGGTATTAATTTTGTCTTCCATTTTAGATAATCAACAGAACACAAATCGTGAATATTACTATTAAGCATGAAATCTGAATTTTGCACTATAATTACTGGATAAATTAAATAAATAAGTTACAGTATGAACGGGCATACTCATTTATAATATTCCCAGCTCAAATGAGAAATTAATATCAGGTTAAAGAATAATGGGTCTAATTTGAAGCAAAATACAAAACAAGGATGATATCCAGTTTTATGTTCACAGTGCTGGCAACTCCTTGCTTTATGTGCTCCTCTATTCCTGCCTCAACATCACTTCCTCTGGTACATCAAACAGCACTTGCAGCGACATGCAGACCCCAGGTAAGGACTGCAACAGCATTTTCTTCTGCTAAGCCGACTGCCTTTTGCATCCACAACAAATAAAGAGGGAAGCATTTGTAACACACACCTGCAAAAACATGTTGAGAGAGAGGACAGGTTTCCAGTGGTATAAAGCTGTGTCCCTTCAGTCATTCACATTAATTTGTCACTTAGACTAAGCTAGTTCACAAAACAGAGTGACCTATATTTGCAAAAGAACTTTTTGCAGATATAACTGGAGCTACATAGGGACATGTTTTCCTAATGCAGCAACTTTCTTTTATTGATAAAAGACAGATCAAAGTAATTATTTAGAATGAATTATTCAAATATTAGGTGATAACATTCTGCTGTCAGGTTAGCAGGCATACTGACAGAACAAAAGTGAGGCAGAAGACATCTCAGGAAACTGTAAAAAGTTAGGAAAAACTAACAAAACTGAAATAAATGTTTTCTGTTGCCATTTTCCCTTGAAAGAAAACAGTACTAGATCTACAGTAAGGGCAGTAACTTTTTCTCCATTGTTCATGCTGTGCTCTTAGTTTGTTTCCGTGCTGATCTCATCTTCAACATATCTCACTGTGTCCTTAGGGGGAAGGTCACAGATAGAGATGTCTAGTTGTCTGTTGCAACAATATACTCTTGTTAAGTCATAGGTAAAAGAGTTGTTTCCTTTCAAACAAATATTCATATTCTAATAATAATTCTAAGTCTGCCTTGGAACTCAAGCCACAAGTTTCCTGGCACTGCAGAGAAATCTGTGTCCTCCTATCAAGTCTTTTTTATTTTCTTATATGCTGCCTCACATTTGCAGTTTCTTCTCAAAAGTGAAAATATGGATATCGGGCTCTCCTCAATGTTCAGGTTCTCTCTCTGTTTGCTAAGACAACATGTTAGGGATCTTTTGTGTAGGATTAGAAACCATCTCTTCAAACCTGTGTGCATTACCAGCTCCCAGACTGGCCCATTCAATCCAGTAGTGAAGCTGCTGTGGGGGACTATTGAATTTCATAAGGATGTGCTGGGCTCTGTGAAACTGATCCATTTAATCAGTTTCAAACATTACTATGCTGATGGTCTACCAGGTTCTTAGCCCAAAAGTACCTTTATCAACAAATATCCTCTAAGCAGAAGCAAAGAGGAAATTTATTTACACAGTCCAGCTATGAAACAAGTATTAGGGCTAGAAAAAAACCCAGAAATTATATGAAAACGTGTCTATATTCATCTGTAGTTTACATTAGATTTAGAGCAGTTGCTAAGTATGACTCAGCTTGGTTCCTTCTGCCTACATCTAGGAATACATATGTCTCTTTGGCTGTTTCTTGACTAGTTAAATAGATATACTTTCCGTTTCACACAGCAAAGCAAGATACTCGAGTGTTTACACTGCATAATGTCTACGGTCTAGACTTATACTAGATCTTAATTCTAGGTATTGTTTTTCATGAAAGGTGACCTTAGAGTATATCCAGTCTCTTAAAGAGGAAGCAAAGTGGGGCAGAGTTCTAGGTGAGAAGACAACAGGGCTCAGGAGCATTTGGAAGCCAGACACAACAGGTTCTTGTTGAAGCAAGATTCTCTATTTGAAAATTGTCCAAACGTATTACTGGGGAGGTAAGCAATACATTGCTACAGTGAAAAGCCAGAACTCCTGACTTCCATGTTGCTTGCAGGGATTTAACCAGAGGTTTAATCATGTACTGAGCTGCTAAGGGCATCTTGAATGGGATTAGTTTCCCCCGCAAAGTAATAGCACGATTATAAATCTATATAAGTCCTTCCATTTCAAAACTTATTCAGTGTATACATTCTTAACATTTTTTAAAAGGTATAATTGATCGTTCCTGCTTGGCTTTAGAGACACATTTTTTTGGTGCTGTTCAATGGTGCACTCTCTTTAGTAGGCAGTAAACTATACCTATCCTTTATTGAACTATCAACAAATCTAAGCTTGCTTTGAATCTCTGTCAAGTCTCTTGACTGGCAGATAGGGTTAATACATGGAACTTATAATTTGTATAACCGTGTAAATTGATAAATACAACTTGTGTAATCCTGTGAGACTAATGCATTACAATCTATTATTAATATTTACCAGGATTTGATATAATAGTAACTAAATTCCACTGGCATGACAGCGAGTTTGAGGGTGAACAAGTCTTGGCTTAACGGATACTATGGTGGCAGTAGGGTACAGAAGAGAATATTCCTATACTATGTCCAGTCCACCTAGAAGTAGGGAATGCTCTTGTCCTTCCTGGAGAGTCCATTGTCTACCTTAATTTTACAGGTCCTTGGAGCTCAGGTTTGTGTTGTAGCTTTTCACTTGAGCTTTTAGTCTGTTGAGATGAACAATGCACCTGCACAGAGATGTATCTTTGCTTGAGAAAAAGCCTGAGGGAGGAATGCTTTGTCATGACACGGGAAATTGAAGAGAACATGGCACTTAAGCATGTTGGTGTTTTTCTCCACCTCTTCACCTAGGAGTGAAATAGGCAAGTATGCCATCTACTGCCAGAGATCAGTAGACCGCACGGTGCAGGCTGGAGAGCGGGAAGCCAAGCCCTCCCGGATGGAGATTGTGTCCATCCTGCTAAGAAATCCCTACCACCACTCACTCCCCTTCAGCATCCCAGTGCACTTCATGAATGGAACCTACCAGGTGAGCCACCACAGCTGCCCTTCTTATGGGCACTAGAGGACTGCACCATAACCTGCCTCCATCATATGGGTGGAACCATGGTAATTACACATATCAGATATTGGGAGATAGACATTACTTCTCCTCCTTGTCATTTTAGCTGTTTTCCCTGAGAAAATGTAAGGAATCCAGCCCCAGCTCTACAGGTCTTAGGAAGAAAAGATAGCTGAGGAAAATGGACAGATGTCAAAAGTGTCTCAATATGGGAAAGAATGCGGTGTGAAGGGAGACAATAGTGCTGTCACTGGAGCTGGCAGTTAATCCTGAGACATTAATCTGTAGAAAACCTGCCTTCGTTAGTTGTGATACCCATCAGTGTCATGTTTCTTGACTTTTTCTTGTATCCTCAGTTAATTCCTCTTTCATTGCAGGTTATAGGTTTTGATGGTTCTTCAACAGTTGATGAATTCATCCAGCGACTCAACCAGGAGACAGGAATGAGGAAGCCATCCCACATGGGATTTTCTCTCTTCACAGATGATCCTTCTGGCAGGAATCTGGAACATTGTTTGCAGGGCAACATGAAGGTATTTATTTTTCCCCTCCGCTACCTTCAGTATACATCTTTGAAGAATTGCTGAATGGTTAATAAACTGCTAAATAGCTAATAATTTTTTCTTAATGAATCAAGATCAAATAAAGTTGGATATCGTCTATCTGGATTAATATTCACAGATGAGATACTAATTCCTGCACTTGGGTCACAACAACCCCATGCAACCCTACAGGAAGAGTGGCTTGGAAAGCCGCCCAGGGGAAAAGGGTCTGGGGGTCTTGGTCAATGGCCAGCTGAACATGAGCCAGCAGTGTGCTCAGGTGGCCAAGAAGGCCAGCGGCATCCTGGCCTGTATCATAAATAGTGTGGCCAGCAGGACCAGGGAAGAGATTATTCTTGTGTACTTGGCACTGGTGAGGCTGCACCTCAAGTACTCTGCTCAGTTTTGGGCCCCTCATTACAAGAAAGACATTGAAGTGCTGGACTGTGTCCAGAGAAGGGCAATGGAGCTGGTGAAGGGTCTGGAGGGTAAGTCATATGACAAGTGGCTGAGGGAGCTGTGGTCATTTAGCCTGGAGAAAAGAAGGTTTAAGGGGGGACCTTATTGCTCTCTACAACTACCTCAAAGGAGACTGTAGGGAGGTGGGGGATGGTCTCTTTTCCCAAGTAACAAGTGACAGGATGAAGAAATGGCCTCAAGTTGCTCCAGGGGAGATTTAGATTGGCTATTAGGCAAAACTTCTCCGTGAAAGAGTTGTCAAGCATTGGAATAAGCTGCCCAGGCAAGTGGTGGTATTTGGAGGAATTTGAAAGACATGTAGATGTGGCACTTGGGGACATGGTTAAGTGATGGACTTGGCAGTGCTGGATTAATGGTTGGACTTGCAGATCTTAAAGGTCTTTTCCAATCTAAATGATTCGGTGACCCTATAATTAGCTCAGTCTAATCTGATAGACTTCTTAATACAAAGCAAGTTCTAATTTTAGGAGATGATAAATTGGTCAATTTTAAAAAAGTCTTTAACTCAGATTTTAGCACATATTAAAGTTTAATTTGTCTTGATGACAAAATTGAAATATGACTGAACTAGTCAGCATGAGCATGATATCACAACCGACATCAAATGTGACACTCTTAATTGAGACAAATTTATGTTAGGCTGTGAGTCTTTTGGCATGTCTACATAAATTCCATCTATTGGATTATGAAGTATCCCCTTGCTGTCTCCAGATAACTCAGGCTTTCACTGTTGATGAGTGTACTTAGCGCAGAAAGCTCTACTGAGTATGGCTTAAGAGTAGAGTGCCTCCGATCAAGGAAGAAGCAAAGCAGGATAAAGTATTAACATCTGTGTCTTTCATATGGAGATTTTTACCCATGCTGCAGCTGAATGACTGCCTTAATTGAGTAGGCCAGCCACCATGAATGAGACACATCAGATTTTGGTACAAATCTGGGAGAATAATTTGTCATACAGAATTGATGGAAGAATAGTTGTAGTGGCAACTTTGAATAGACTGATACCTCTATGGAACTTAAACAATCAGTGTTACACAGTGTAAAATCTCACATTAGGCAACAGAGGGAGAAGATACCAATAACTTTGAATTAGATGATTTGAAAAGGAAACTGCCACAGACAGTGCCAAATTATTTGGCAAAATAATTATTTGCTTTCATGGCCTGATATAGATCAGATAATCTGGAGCTTTGCTTGTAATTGGACCACCATCTAGAGAGATGAGGTATCAGAGTAAACAAAGGAGCTTGAGACAATCAAAGGCATTATTTATACTAGTTATTATTTACTTGCCAAGGCAATCTCAATAGCTTCTTAAGAGAGGTTTAGAGATCTGATTATGTATTTCATGTGGATTCTTATGTTCACATTCCTTTTATTGAGATGCCATCAAAAGAGAAGTAGGGGTCTTCATTAAACCACTTAGAAAAGGACTGGAATAACCAATAGGAGCTGAATGGAACTAAACAAATTAACCATGTTATTACTAAAAATATGTCTGAGTTACAAAGTTGGAATCCAGGACCAAAGTTTGGACATTTGCATCCAAGGGTTTGGTTTAGCCATGCGTGTAGACAGCTACTGTTCAGAGGATACATTAGTGCTTTAGTCTAGCTTGGGAGGGCACTTCTGAAGCAAACCTACCAATCATTCCTATTAACCACACTTTGACTCACATTAAGGAGTAACCTGAGAGCATGAAATTGATTCCTTTTATGTGAAATATGAACTGGAAGGTGTGACCCAAAATAGTAGTGAGGTTTCAGGTCACTTAATCAGACTAAAGCTAATCCAGTGGAAAATCCTGTAAAACTCATATAGTGTGGGCATAGAGATTTAGGAATGGGTGTTTCTCTGTGCGTATCTGCTCCTCCTGAGCTTTGCTATTTGCTAATGTAGACATAACCACAAGAGTTACTACCAGACCAGAATTCATTTAAACATGCCCCCCTGCACATTAGAGCTGGAGTTTTCAGTTGGAATGCTTTAATTTTTACATATTGTGTAACAGAAAAAAGTGTTTTGTCACTTTGGGCTGTGTTTATGCTGATGCAGTCTGTTTCTTTAATCTTCTGTGTTCAACAACACTTCATTCACTTACTTTCCCCTCAAGCCTTGGCTATACATCTCATCTCAGTTTGTGTCTCCTCTCTCCTTCATATTTTTTAAAGATCTGTGATGTCATTTCTAAATGGGAACAAGCCTTAAAAGAATTGCACCCTGGGAAATACGAAGGTGGCACAAGAATTGTGAAGTTGACCTATAAGAACAGGTACTGTTGTTTGTTAGGTGGCCTCACTAGTGCTGTTAATAAAATATTCTAGACCGCATATATCTCTGTAGATGACCAGTAAACTTATAGTATCATTAGTGCCAAAACTATTTTAGCTAAGATGCATTTAAAACCTACATGAGATGTGATGAATTTTGTGTGTTACATATACAAAACCTTATGGCCTAGAGGTAAAACCCAAAACACTTTGCAATAGCAGAATAGACTTAAAAAGAGTTAAGAACTGGCTCTAGTACAATAAGACATACCTGGACAATTTCATTTGCCTAGATCCTAAAACATAATTAAATAATGTGAGAGACCTAGAGGAAAAATCACTAGTGAAAACAAATATGCTGAAACTTGCAATTAAGTGAACAATCACAAAGATGAAAAAGATACAAGAACAATGTTCTAAATCACATGAGTTGTAGAAGAGACGTAGTAGCAGTGCCCAAACTTTATAAAGAAAGACATGTTAAAAGTTAGATGATGAAAGACGGTAGAGAAGCGAAGTACAAGACAAAGATCTAAATAAAAAACTGGAACAAGTTCATCACTTATAATACAGACAAGAATTCTGAATTACACTGAATCAAGAGCTGTACGAGAACAAGGAATGGCGTTCTGCATTTGAATCCTCTGTGCAGGCAAAACAAAGGCTACTCCAAAACTGAAAAGAGACAAAGTTCTGTACTGAACATATGAAGATTTTGTTGACTGTAATAGTGGAAACAAATTTCTGTCAACTTTGTTAGTTGGTATAATAGAGGTGGAAGCAGAAATTACTGCTTTTGACCTTGAAGGCAGTATTTGTTTCAGGCGTGAAACAAATATTATTTTGTTGGACTGGAATGTGCCCAGACTGGACGGCAAGGATGTTTTGATAAGGTATTTCCAAGGTTGGGCTGTTCTAACACCAAAGACTCTGATAAGAAATGTGTCAGGTCAATATGGTCCTAATGGTGGTGTTCATCTCAAAGTGACATAAAAATAAACAAACTGATCTACTGGAATTAATATCTCATGCAGTATTGTGGAATAGATAGCCATAGATGCAGCTTTAAATTAACATTTTAATTAGGTGGTATGCACTGTAAGTTGGCATGCATAAGGAATGGTTCTGGGAAGCATTCTCCAAACTGGTGTCTTAACCCCCATTAGTAATCTTGCTATATCACATCAAAAAAATTGCAAGTGTGGATGGAATAAAAAATAGTAGGAAACTTTGATGTACAAGCATGTTTCTTTAAGTTTTGAAATAAAGCCTGCTGAGTCTCTTATTTCCTGCTGAAGCAAAAAAATGGTCAAATCCAAGGTGGCAATTCTACAAGGCTGTCTTGTAGAAACTTATACATGTAGAGCAGAGGTAGTTCTCTTTTCTGTGATAAGCACAGAAGGCCATAACTTAAAGATCGCCTGTCTGTGCTTGATGGGGACCAATGGACACTGTGTTTAATAAGGGTTCACTGTCTAGAAGTGGTTGGCTTACAGAATTCAAAGAGCTTCCAAAGCTAGAAAGGCTGTTTCAAGCCTCCTTGCCCAAATTTTGCTCATAATGTAAGCATCTCAGCTTCCAAATCTGTCCAGTACCCCCTCAATAAAAAAAAGAATAACCCACTTTTATTTTGCCTCACCTTGATTAAAGTTCCCAGCTGTACTTTCAGTTCACTAAGTCTTTTTACCTTTACAATCATCTCTACTTTTTAGACTATATTTTCGGAGCCAGGCCAAAGGTGAGACAGACCGTGAGCGGTTGCTACTGGCCTTCCAAGTCAGCAATGAAATAGCCAATGGAAGGTTTCCTGTTAATAAGGAATTAGCTCTGGAAATGGTGGCTCTGATGGCTCAGGTGAGTATGGCTGTGGGCAGAAATCCTTTCTGTTGTCTTCCTTCAGCTGTACACTGAGTATCTTTGACTAAGCAGTTACCTTTTACATCAAAAGTGCTTCTTCTTACCACACATACAGAGATGCACCATGCCAAATACATTATACCAGTATACATATGTTAGAACACCTTTTGCTGTAGGGAAATTTGCTCTAGGAGTGCCTGTCCTTTACTTCTCAAGAAAAATATTGGAAAAAACAGCAAGGCTGGAATATCACCTAAACTGCCCCAATTAGTACCTTAGCAGAGATCTGGAAATAGTACCACTACTAGAATACCACTGCTAGAATTCCATTAAGAGTAAAAACTTTCCCTGTTGCACTGCCAATACCCTCTTACTCAGGATGAGCATGTTGTAGGATCCTCCATTAGACCTCCAGGTTTGCATTTAGCATTTTACCACAGAAAACACCCAATGTGGGTTGTGGCCATGATAAGCAGGATAATAATTTCTTACTGAGCTGAAACTGATTGTTGTATTTGTTGAAGCAGTGTAAACTGAGATGAATAACCTGGGCATGTGCTCCAAATATGCTGTTGTTTTAATTGGCCAGTTGAAATTAACCCCCAAAGCCTGGCAGTTATACAGATGTGTCTCCTTACAAGTATCTGGCTGAGATCTTGTTTCACTTTCTTAGATCAGTAAATAATTCCTTGGGCAGTCATGTCCTCAGTTGTTCTCTTTTGTATATATTTACTATGGTAAATCTGTAAACAAAATTCCCCAGCCTAACTATGTCTTTTTGCATGACTAATAAACACAGTAGTTATTGGTATGGGAATTCATGGAATGTTCTAGTGCATTAAAAACACCATAGTTCTGTTGCACTATAAATAATAATGTTGTCTTAGGTGGAATATGGGGATTTGGATCGATCAGGATCTTCAAGTCCTGGGGGAACATCACAATTAAAAATGCAGCATCTTCTCCATCAGGTCTTAGATAAATTCTACCCCAAACACTACAAGCAAAACATTGCTCCTGAACAGCTCAGGTAAATTGTTGGTTCTTCAAAACTTTGCACTGAAAATAGCTTTTACTTGCAAAATTCTGTCTTATATTTAAGTAGTTTCAAGGAGCCCTGTCAAGATTATTTGATGTAGAAACTTAAACAAAACTCAAGTGTCAGGAAAAGGTTCCCTTAAAAGAAAAACTAATACAAAAATAGCCAAATCACCAACTAATTTTCCCCTAGACAAGAAGTTTAGGTCTTTCACTTCCAAATTAGGCATCTCAGTTCCAACAAATTAACCTAAGCCTAGGATGAATTCTCTTCCTGAGTTTTTGTTTTACCCTTTCCCCAAGTGTCAATTGAATCCAGATGCCTAACATTTGCAATGAGTCATAGTGCCAGCACATATGAGTTGCTTCAGGCCATGCAGTAATTCTGGTAGGACATATTTTGGTAGGGCTTTTTGATGTTCTGACTTGGAAATTCTCACACACAATGCAGAGAGCTCAAGTACAGAATTCAGATGCTGCCACGGATCTCGGATTTTTCTGTTTTAAAGTGAGAGAATGGTTTTATTCCAGAACCTAAGCTACTTAGGAATGCAGTGGTGTAGCTAACACAGTTACCTCCTTTTGGGAGCAAATTCCATCTGCACGTAGCGAGGTAGCTGCCAAACCACCCTAGTGAGCCAAATCAAGAGTGAGTTAATATATATTGCCATTCCATATAGAGCATACTACAGCAAGGTATGAGGAAGGCAAGAGTGTAACTGGATATGAAGACAAGCTCTGCAGGGTTTTACTATAACACCTGACCCAGTGTTTGTAGTTACAGTTGTTTAATATATACACCAGTGAGCAACCCGTATGTGAGTAGGATTCCTGGGCATTACGGTATAACTAGTAATAAAATAATTATGGAAGTAGAAAAAATAAACTCATGTTGTACAATCCTTTTAACTGATAGTGCTAACAGCCTTGTCTGTAAGAGCTGTGTAGAAGAGCCCTTTTGGAGTAAAGAGGTACATCTATTAACTGTTATAATTTTACACACCTTTCCTTGGAAAACATTAGTAAATAATACTGTCTTGTATTTTGGATTCTGAAAGGCAACTGACAGACAGGCTGGCAATGAAGTGGATGGTGCTGCAGGGATGCTCTCCACCAGAATGCATTCGAATTTATTTGACGGTGGCCCGGAAATGGCCTCTCTTTGGAACCAAAATATTTGCTGCTAAGGTAACTGGACCACACCTTTTTCTGTTGCCAAGAGTGAACTACCTGAGCAGAAATATACCTACAGTCTCTGGGTTGAAAATGCTGCTACTTCAGGAAAGGAAAAAATTGAACAATACTCTGTTCTGAAGAAACAGCTCTGGTACCACATAGGTTGAAAAAGAAGGCAGGCAAGTATGTTCTAAACACTAGGGGTTGCTAGCGTTCAGTAAATAAATACTGAAGGTTCCGTGGCTGTGTCAGTTGATCGTGATACAGAGTACTACCTGTCCTTACAAACCTTGCCAAAGCTTGCTTAGGCAGGAATTTCCCTGGTCAGCACAGCTGCAGTGATAGTTTAAAAAATACTATTTACATACCACCGTGGGGGTGGAAGGGAAGAGTCCCCCATAAGTCACACCTGGCAGCTGATGCTAGCTATAAGGACAATGGGTATTTCAGTCCTGTTCTCTGCTTGACACAGAGCTGGATGCTTTCCTTGCCACATGAGAGAGGCAAACACTGCTAGTGTCCTGCTGCAGAAACAAAAGCTGAAGCATGTATTGGGTAAGCTGCCAGCCCACAGGCATCAGTAAGAGAGCAAAGAATATCTGGAGAGAATACTTCTCCCAGGAGCTTGTCCATCCCTCAGTCAGTCTCAGGCTAGAGCTCTGTACCTATCACCCTTGCCTGAACTGATGTCTTAGCACATGACGGCTGTCTGAGAAATCTTACTTTGGCATTAACTATCTTCCTCATCCCAGCAGAAACTTCCCCTGTTGAAAGCTTGAGCTAGGTCTTCTTCATGGTTACATATCTCTTGCTTTGAAGTCAAAGCTGCTGTAGTTATGGAATAAAGTCTAAGGATGAAATGGACCTCTTGAGTAAACACACAAAAAGTTTTTGAAAAGATAATTATTTCTACTGTCAGGAGTAAAAGCAGAGGTAGTTACTGGTATTTGAAGTTATGAATGCTGAAGGATCAGAATACAGAATAGTTCCACCCACAGTTTAAATAATGTTGGTATTTCTGACGATCAGCATATTTTATAACTTTTCAACAGTTAAGCAGCAAAGCCTATGGCAATAGCCATGTAATTGCTGATTCCTAGGAAAGATTTATGTCGTTAGCCATCACAACTCATCTTTAACAGATAATTGATGCACATTTGTCTGTAAGACTCTGTAAGAAATGAAATTGCATTGATGTGATGGTACTGGGTGCCCTGGTGTTACAGAAACCAACAGACCAACAGGAGCAGTATAAAAACGTGCAGAGCAGAGCTGCATTTTATTGCTCTGTCCTAGCATTTCCTTCCATTTTAACTACACTAATGGAATCTAATTAATCTCAAAGCCTTTGTTATCCCTGTATCTCTTGTGCTGCTACTCTGAAAATTGTATGTAAATCTGAAAATATTATTCCAAATTTTGAGAAAAGCCCTCTTAAAAATCAAACCAGGTCACACCAGTAAGCCTATAGGATTCTTTCTCATCATCACTTTATCCTTAGAATCCGACATTTATGTCAGAAACATCATTCTGTGGTCATCAAGAAATACCTGAATTAATAATTTTCTTTCTGTCTAGCCTATTTTGCCTTCCTCATTGGAAGACTGTCCAGTCTGGATAGCTGTGAATGAAGATGGTATCAGCATACTGGATTATAACACAATGGTATGTTGAGAAAAATACCCTGCCCCAGAAAGACATTCCCGAGTCCACTGAAAGTCACTAAAAGTTTGTCTTTAACTTCAAATGGATCCAGAAGTTAATTTGTAAAAGTCAGATGATGGAAGTCAGTGCTATGTTTGAACACTGTATAGACAAGGAAAAATTACAGCTGCAGTGTAAGGTAGGCTAGCAAACATGCTCATACATCTTTGCAAAATCTCAGTAATGTGTGTTTTGCTACCACCATCTGGGATATAACAAAATTTGGACTATGAATCAGTGAGGTATCAAGCGAGCCAGGAGAAAACCAGAAATGCAATTGTTACTTGAGCTTTTTCTGCCAGCTGTTACCTATAGAGCCTGTAGTGCCTGTTACTGCTGGAGATCCGGTGTTCTTGCAGGAAGCAGCAATATAAATTAATACATTATTATAAGATGGGCATTTTGGTCTTTTTACAGAACTATGACTTTTTCAAATTCTCTGTCTGCAGCATCTGAAGGTCTCTTATTCATACTCCTCTGTGCTGACCTTTGGAGGCTGTCGAGATGACTTCATGATTGTAGTCAGTCAAATGAAAGAAAACAGTTCTGGAAAAAATAGCACTGAAAAACTCCTCTTCACAATGGCAGTTCCTAAGGTAATTACAAAATGAAAAGCGAGATTCTTTCCAGCTAGCAGCATCAGAACTGGGTGTTTTGTATAAGCCCTGGGGACTGGTACTTGTGAGTACTGCACTAGCCATACACATTCAACAAATCCCTTGTAAGCTGGAACCTTTGACCACGAGACTTACTTTACCTAACTCTTACAGACAGATTTTCATTTCAAAACTGAACAATTCCATGTGAGAAATCCATTTATAAAAGTTAGGCAGTCAAATAGGTTCTAAAAATCAAAGGGCACTTTTACCTCTAGTTGACTTACAGTTAATCATTTTCTTTTTTCCCCAGATTGTTGAAGCAACACTTCTTATTGCCAGCTACATTAACTACCGCTCGTCACCTTCACTCCTGTCTTCTACACAGCCCTCCCAAAGCAAAACACCTGCTAAGAAGCTCTGGGAGACTGAAAATCGGTGCTTTTTTCCTTCCATGCCCCGAAGCACTAAGGGGCCCACCCTGCTCTGAGGGCTCATTCCAAATGAGCTATGATTCTTCTGGTTACACACCACTACTTTAATGTGGACTCTGATTCTTTTTCCATAATAATAGACAAAGTTCCTTAGAGGTAGAGGCAGTGTCCTTTCTCTTGGGGGGGAGGGGGAAGTTATTTTGGGGGACTGTGCAGGAGTTTCCTTTCCATGACACACTCCATCCAAAATACCATGCCTCAGGTCGTTTACCTGCACAGTGCTCCAGTTACATTACATCTGCTCTCTTTCCTTACACTGATTATTCCATCTCGTACCTTTCTGCCTTGCTTTAGAAACACATACATTTTCTTTGATCCTTCACATTTGCAGCTTGCAGAAGACAGAAACTTTCCAAGTCCTTGCTCCAGACATGAAAAAAGACATTACTGAGAAAGAAGAGGAACTAAACTGACAAGAATAATTCCAATGCAAGTCAAGGGTGATTTTAGACCTGAAATAGGGGGTATAGAATTAGAGTTCAGTGGTACTTAAGAATGTTTTCAACTTTAAATGAAAGTGGAATCCTAGTGTCTTTAGATGTTGAGGACTCAGAACAACTGAGACTAGAACAGCGTCAGAGCATGTCAGCTCCTACAGGACTGATGCATTTTAGAAGCTGACACTGTTCTACACAATAGATGAACATTAAATTGATGCTGCAGGGCTGAATGTGTCCCATGCTCCACTGTCAGACAAGCACTTTCAAGGACTTTCTGCTAATCACTGTAGATGTGTTTGAAACTGCACATTATCTCAGACAAGGGAAGACAAGACAAGCAAATTTTGTACTTTTTCTGTCTTCCAGCAACTAGAACAGATCTTGTTCCCAAATAAGGTCTGCCATTCTGACTTGACAGAAGCTGCTCCTTTCAAACTCCTGCTTCCTTCATGCTACCATAAGCAAGGAGGAGGTAGTCAGCAAATGTGTACTCAAGTACTGTTCTTCTGACTTTCCTAAAGAATTGTGGTAGATTTAATTTTTTTATCTGTTTCAAAGGGACTTGGTTTTGAGAAGGTTATTGAAGTTTAAACAAGTAAAAGAAAAATAGCAATTCTTCATGAAAAATCTAAATCTGCGTAGCTTGAGTTCGGCTCTTTTGATAAGCATTCTAAAAAAGCTAAGGAAAAATAACTGTACTTTCAAAAGTACCATGTGCAACTTCATAATAATTATGCATTCCTGGGCAACTTTCCCAAATAAAAACAGGGTGAACCCAACCACTAGAATGAATTCAGTAATAGCAAATCAAAGCTATGAACAAAGCAAATGAACAAACCAACCATACCAGTGTTTTTAGTACCTGCCACCAACCTTGAAACATCCAACTAATGCACACAAGGGAGCTGATACATCAAGCTGATACATTTTTGTTTCATGCTTAGGTGGGGGCAAAGCCACAGATTAGGAGTGTGGGACAGACAAAAATTGCTCTTAGTAATACAAAACAAAAAAAATAAATAAAAATCCCCAAACAAACAAAAACCCAACCCCAAACCACCCCATGGTGGGTTATGGAAACACTATGACAGACATAAGACAGGAAAAGATTGTATGAACAGTGACCTGATTTGCACATACTGTAATGTAGCCACTTCTTATGAATTTAAAGACCATCCCTTGAAGGTACAGAAGAGGGTAGCTTTCTGAGCCAAAAATAATTTTAAGAAGGTATTTAGTCTTTTTTGTTTTCCCTTTGATACTTTTAAGCGACTATATATCCTGATAGTAGTTTGTATTTCCTCTCTCTCACACACACACACACACACACAGAGTGATCTCAGTATAGTTATGTCAGTTTGAATACATGAAGTATTACTCCTCCTCACTCAATCACCTGTGCCTAACAAGTTCTCCTGTATCTGAAGGTCTGTTTGGCAGCCTGCTTCTGGTATCCCACCAGTGACAAAGCTGCTTTAGAATAGGCTGAAGCCATGGGATGTCCCAGCTGTCATCAGCGCTGGAGGTGCTCAAGGCATAGAAGTCTCCAGTTCACAGTTCAGAGGCTGTATTTCCTTACAGTGTTAACACTCATGTCCTCAGACTCATACCAGGGTAAACAGGAAGCAGAGATGTTAAATAAACAGGAACTGTCCTGAAGCTCATTATTTTCTGCCATAACTGCACTTTAAACTGAGAAGCGTGACATATAGAACTTCTTTTCCTTCCTTATTTCTTAAAAATATTCACGAATACTTGAGTATTTCAGGGACCACCCCACTCTGATGGATGCATACACCCCTCCTATTTATAACTTACCTGTCTTCAAACAAACAACCCACCTGGTGTAGATATCTGTTTTGTATGATTCTTTGGTAGAGAAAACAGTCTTTTATTTTAATCAATGCTTTTGACTATTGATGGGAGCATAGAATGAGACGACAAAAGCCTTTGTTTTCCTAACTGCTGTGTGTATATAGAAGGCTGCCTGGAATATACTGTGAGATTTCTGTTTGTTCTTAATAAAATGCAGCTATCATGAATTAAACTGTATTATTCTCAGAATGGAAGAAACTATTTTAAAAGCCAAAATATTCTCAATGTAAACAAAAATGAACAAAGATTGTGTTTGGTATCCAGGCACATACCTAGTGCAAACCTGCCCTAGTCTGATTCCTGTTTCTCTCTGCTAATTTCTCAGCTTCAGTGGATGACTAAACTATGGGCACAGGATGTTCACTCCTTCAAAAGATTGCTAAAGCAATCTTTCAGACTTCCTCCTGTGACACAGCTTCTTGGTAATTTCTTCAGTGCACATTCTGAGGACTTCATGGCATTTTTATAGCATAGTCAGCATTCACTGCACACTCTTGAGCCTAAGACTCCGTTCATTCTGTTGAGACATCATTTATTTTCTGACACAAAAGCCAGTGGCACATCCCCAAGCTGCTGCCTTTCACTTGGACAGCCAGAATACTTCCTGTGACATGAGCTAACCTGTGTCTTTCAAACCTCATGGCACCACAAAAAAAACCAAATCACCTTATCTCTACCCTATTGCATGGGGTAGAAAACCAAATCACCTTATCTCTACCCTATTGCATGATGGTATGTTGATACATGCTTTTATTTACAGATAATGCAGACAAGCACAATACAGCATTGTATGCAAATGAAGCATGACCCCAGGCTCCTGCCAACTTGTGGGTTTAGCTCAGTTATATTTCTAAGGAGTCATGGGGAAAAAAAAAAGAGAGAAGAATACCAGTTAAGGGTTACAGTGACTTTTAGCTTATCAACAAAGAAGAATTTCCCAACTTTAAGTTACTCCCAAGAGCACAGATCAATAAAGCTTTATTCACATTGTCATTACCATGATTTTCAACAACACATCTGCCTCCAAGCTGCCTCATATTCTTGGAGTAATTGATGTGGCCCTTTTAATGCCACATCTTTTCCATGTTCTGTGTCACCAGGTCCCTGCCCCATTCAGCAATGGGTTCACATTTTCCCTGTATTCCTTTTGATACTTAAGTACTTACTGAAGCCATCCTTGTTGCTTTTGACATCCCTCAACAGATTCATCCCCAGACAGTCTTTAACTGTCCTAACCACATCTTGAATAGTGTTGCTGTATTCCTCCTAAGTTACCTGTCCCTAATTCCACATTCTGTATACTTCCTTTTTGTGTTCAAGTTTTGCCAGGAGCAACTTGTTCATCCATGCAGGCTTCCTGGCATTTCTGCTCGACTTCCTGCTCATTGGGAAGGATTGTTCTTGAGCTTAGAAGAAATGATCCTTAATTATCAGTCAGCTTTCTTGGACCCCTCTTGCCTCTAGGACCCCATCCCATGGGACTCTTTCAAGCAGATCCCTGAAGAGGTAAGTCTGCTCTTTTATGTTTATTTCATTAAATGTAACTGAATGCAACAGTATGTTTTCATTTTCTGTAATTGTCCTTATGAAATTCTCCTGTGATCGGTAATTTGCCATCCCAGCCTACACAACAGCTTTGGTATTTAGAGTGGTTTTTTCAAACAAAGGGTTAAATAGCAACCAAAGAATGCATCTTTTTGGCAGTCCAGACAAAGTTACATTATGATTTTAGCATAATTTTCAGATGCACAAAAAAGTAAACAATGCATTTTTTTGTCTCCCTCTGCCCCATTTCTCCGTAATTCTTTTCTGTCTAAGCCTAAAAAGTTCTGCTCACCTGTCTTCATAGCAGAGGATTTCAAGGTTCACTTCTGTGCTTGAGCTGACATTTCCTCTAACAATTCTATGAAGCTGTGCAGGCCTTTAGCCCTAACATCACTGCACCGCTTTCTACTCATCTAATAAATGAAAGCCATGGGGTGGTTTTGCTTGCTTTTCCATGGGTCCCTCTGAGTTCTGCTGGAAGTCTGCTCCCTTGTTTGGGTTTTTTTTCAGCTATTTTATTCCACTTGACTGTGGAGCTGTCTTCCTCTGCTCCAGGATTTCTTGACAACTTTTATACACTTCTATCAAGCAGTCCAGACGCGGCTTGGAGCTCTAGAAGTCAAACAACAGAGAATCAGGTTCTGGACTGGCTGTAAAAGAACAGGAAAGCTTGTAACTTCCCACTAGTGAGACAGGCAGAGGTAGGAACGTGGAGACAGCCGACAAAGCTAACAGAAGTGTGTATGTGTACGGAGTGCAACAGTAAGACACCTGTAGCTCGTGAGCTTTATCACATCAAGTCAATGGAGACTGGTACATGTTCATTGAGAAATAATCCAGACTCCAGGAGGTGTCTGATGTAAGCTGGTGATACAGGAATGCAAAGTGATTCCATAAGCCATACCTGCTCTGTGATGAAAAACACCAGTCCCTAAAGTTGTCAGGTCAAGACATGCAGCACCATTCTGCAGTTAGCCTGAATCTCTCACCAAATCTGAAAGCCACTCCTTTCTCAGCTCACAGTTCACAGTGACAGCATGGAAGAACATCCACACTTTCCCACCCATGACCCTATCTGTTAGGCCATACTCCCTCTAGAGACTAATGAACAGCAGATTTCCATACACTGGATCTACCATCCTAGAAGACCTCCACCCTGAAAAATCCACCTTCAGGACAGGGAGTTTAAACATCTGACCCTTGGCCTCTGCTAGTACTGTCAACATAAGGACAATGGAAGGTTAACTGAAAACATAAATTAATTTTACACAAACAGCAAGTGGTGGTCAAAGGATAATAATTTTTCATCAATTCTAAACTGCACTAGATTAAAACCAGCAAGGAGGTGAAAGTTTCACAGTTCCACAGTCCCTATGATCCCATGACTTCTGAGCTCCCGAAGCAGCATTACTGTGTAAAGTCCATCAAATGCCTCCTTGCAAGTGTTTCTTAAGAGAACAAAAGGTCAATTCAGTGCAGAAGGGCCCTGGGCTCAGTGACACGGGAAACTGTATTTCTTAAGGCTGACATAACTTACATGAACCTAATGAAGGTGACACAATACAGCCAAATAATCATTGCTTCTTCAAAACTAAGTAACACACTAACTTGCACGTTAAAGTAAGAATTACAGACAGGTACTGACTCGCAAACTACCACAGTTCTGTACCTCCTTTGCTGGTGGAGTCAACTCTAGCAGTACTAAGATGTTTCCATGAAAATAAAACTGTTCAGAGTTGAGATAAAAAAAAAAGAAACTATACAGATGCCAGGTAGCCTCTTTGAAGCTGGAAATGAGCATATCTAAAACCAGGTTCCTGAATGCAGCTCTCTGGAATTTATTTGTTGTTGATTTCCAGCAAATCCCTTCTTTCCCTTGTTTATGTGTGAAATATTTAATTTATATTACTCTTAGTAATATAGTCTTTACAATTGTGGGACTGAGTTAGCAGTAAGAATCAATGGAATAGCCTATTTATACCTGTAAGTTTTTAGAAGAAGACTAACTGTATCCAGTCATAAACTGTATGTAGATTACAAAATGATAGTCACTAACAGCAGATGAATTAAGGACAGAGAGGGCTATACAGCTCAGTGGTCTAAAAAGTGAGGTACCTCTGTACTGCTTACCACCGCTCACGGTTCAGGGCATTCTTGTGTTAGGCATGAACACACAGAGAAATTCCATCCCGAAAATGGGATTATGAACAGTCAGAATAAGTTAGCAAGAGAAGAGAAAGGGGAAACAGGGTAACGGTAACACAAACAAGTTATTATACATTAAGCAAGTTGGTCACAGCTTGTCCTGTGATCTTTGTCAATGTATAAGAGAGGGGAAGTCATTCCAATGCCAAGGAGGCTTTATGAACACTTTTGGCACACCGAGCTGAGAGAAAAATCAACTGCAGCACAGTGCCATAGGCCAATCGGTGGGATGAAGATCGTAGCAGAAAGCACCATACTATTCTGTAACACAAGCCAAACAAAGGCAGACCTCTGGTCTTGCAATTATTTGAACACAGCTTTAGAGAAAGTAAAATTAAAATTGCACAGTAAATTATAGAAGAATAAAAGGATGGTAACACTGAGCACAGGACTACACAGAAAGCTGTATGAGTCCTCAGTACCCTACATGAGCCAACGACTTTTAGTTCATGCAAACTCCTGGCTGGGTTCAGATTGACACAACTCCCTGTTCTTTGAATGGAGAGCAAATGAAAAAAACATCCCCAGGACATAGTTCTATGAGGTTTCTAATACCACCCACCCTGACAGCCCAGCCAGGGAAAGGCAACTGTAATCAGCTATCTGTAGTGGAATAAAGATATGCCTGGACAACTGGTGTGCACACACAGACCACAGATCTGGATTTTTCCACCAGTCAGTCAAACTCACCTGAAAGAGTGGCACAACCTCAGATACTCCCTGAGGATCTTCAGGGTCCTGGAGGAGGATACACAGGTAGTAGATAACTTTTTGCTACAAGAAAAACAGACACAATCATTGGAGTTTGAAAAAGCTATCAATCTGCCTGGAGTTAGCACAGAAAGAGGAACTGTTTCAACTCACTGAGCTGAAAGCCAATCATCCCAGGCCACAGTCAAGTCTACCAATTTATATCTATAGTTTTCACACAATAAAAAAATAACTTTACCTGTGGTTTTTTTCTATTAAATTTTTCACCTGAAAAGAACACGCATATGCTGGAAGGGTAAGGTCTGCTCTTCTACAGGAGCTTTGCAGAAAACCCCAGCAATGGGAAAAATCATCATTTGTGTCTTCTACCTCCTCATCTCTGTCTTGACTACATACAGAGTTGGCCATCAGGATTTGTGAGAACAGCATAATGTAAAGAACTAAAATCATTAGCTCAATGTCAGTGGCATTGTCTAAGGGATGGATTTGGCTTTTTGAGATTTTTCCTTTGGTTTGAGTTCTCCTTTAAAGGTGAGAAAACAGATCAGAAAATAAAGAGGGAAATCTGAAACAAAGTTCCTAATGTCAGTAAAGCTATGGATGGTGCTGTGTTTAATTGCTCTGGTAAGCCATGCTCATGAAAATACAATGGATGTGAGTGTGCCTACAGAGACAAGAAGAAAGGCTGTGTATCATTACCATATGGACGGCTTCGTTGATAACCACATCCTTCACCTGACCCATCTCAATGAAGGTTGTGCTCTCTTTTCCTGAAGCGTAGGATGAAGTCACCTGAATGCCAAGTGAGCCGATGACCAACAGGGATTCCTGGTCAATTTTGACAAAGTGCAGGTATATGATCAGGCCAATCAGTGAGATGAAGATTGCGGCAGAAAGCACCACAGTATTCTGTAACACAAGCCAAGCAAAGGCAGAGGTCTAGTCTTACAATTAATTGAACATAGCTTTAGAGAAAGTAGAATTGCACAGTAAATTAAAACATTAAAGCTACAGTTACTAAGCAATTTTAAGTAGAGTCAGCCCTTTTATCCACTGGGCTGGCTGACACGTGTAATGAGATTTAAATCAGTCTTCACAGTATGGACTGAAAGAATTGGGAATTGAAACTGAAAACTGTGAGAAAATTCTATTCTCTCGTAAATTTAGTGCAGAAATCTCAATCAACACAAGCTAGTTGTATCAATGACTGTGTATAATACCAATGTCTGTAGGGATGATGTCATTGACAAAGAAGTGTTGTGAAAGAACCGAAGGTGGATTCTCAAAGGGGAAGAACCCTCTTCCAGGAAAAACCACTGGCCTGGTGGTTTTCTTCTTATGAACTGCAAATCTAAACTTGTTCAAACCTCACCCTCTTCCTGCCTTAAACACCAATCTAAAGAACATTTGCACTCCCCTGTGCTTTGTCTCAGGGCAAATGTCTTTTGCATGCTGCAATTTCGGGATTGCTGTTACATTTTAATATATAACTGATGAAACTATAGTCACCAGTAAGTCATCTGAAGACTTTGTAACAAATTCTCAAGGTCTGCAACCTACAATCTATTTCTGGGACATGTTATAGAGAGCTCCAGGCCACATATATATGAATCGAAGTTCTAACTGGCACTTCCTGAAGGACCAGAACTGCACAGCCCTACCACTCAAACTGGGCCTGGGCCACTATGTGAGCTAAGGAAGCCATAGATCTGGAAAACATACAGGACTCCAAAAGTTTGTTATGGAAAAAAACCCCGTCATGAACTACAGACACCGAAATCCACACAAAGAGAGAGACACCTTCAGACTTTCTGATCTGGTTCCTAATGAAAGGAAGAATTGCAGTCACTTGCATATAGGCTGCATGAGCAGTGGTCAGCCAAGCAGGAGGAGAGTGGGTGGTAATCACTGGCTGGGGTGTACGCTTTTGTAAAATATAAAACTGGAACAGAGATTCTCTTCCAGGAAGAGGAACACAAACCATCTTTTCATATCTGATGCCTGCTAACTGACTCACATTGCAATCTCTGTCTTCATTGCTTGGGAAAGATTACTGAAAAAATGTGCAACAGTTGAAGCACAGGTCAAAGTGACCAACTTCTCTGGTCAAGCTACCGACTTCAGTCTGGAGATAACTGGTCTGGGTCCAGTTTTTGATAAATCCAAAGGTATTAGCTCAGATGTCAGCAGCTTTTGAAATCTGTACTGCCAACATCTTTCCCTCAGCTGTGAAATGTGATGACATTCACGGTGCAGTGCTCTCTGAGTCACTCTGGAAAATTCCTTTTGGGAATTAACAATCACCTTCTTCAATACATCCTTTATTCCAGATTCCCACAACTTGTTTCTTCAAATAGCCATTACTTGTTACGTGGACTCACACGCATGCGCCAGGCATCACTCAGCACCCATTCGGACATGTACCCTATCTATCAAGAGGCTACAAACCAAGAGAGGCACTCGAGAAGCCCCTAGAGGCTGGCGGGTGGCAGCCTGCGGCCCTCAGGCTGGCAACAGCTCTCTATTTTTCATCACGCAACCATCACGCCAGGCGTTCCCAGGGCGCGGGGGAATGCCCAGGAAACGCGATGACCGCGTTCCCAACCTCTCCGGCCGCCCTCCATCTTCCGGGCGCCGCTCGGCGAAGGCTGCGCGGCTCCCCCAGCCCGGCGGGATCTGGGGACACACGCGGCCGCCGAGGCCCCCGGGTGCCCCTGACCGCCCCGGTGTGCCAGCGGGACGGCGGCTCCGGGGTGCAGCCGGGTCACCGCTCGGTGCCTGATCCGCGGAGGGGTGCGAGGGCGACGAGCAGGGGTCGGTACCTCGCTTAGCGCGAATAGCCCGTAGGCCGCCAGCCAGACGGCGGAGGTGGCGGCGCTGAGCGAGCGGAGCTGCAGGCGGGGCCCGCGCACGGCCAGCTCCCGGCAGGACGCGCTGTGCTGGCGGCGCCGCAGTGCGATGGGCGCCCCACAGGCCGAGCGGAACCGCTGCTCCTCCGCCATGGCGGGGAGGCGGAGCCGCGGCCGTGGCCCCAGAGCGGCGGGCGGGGCCGATCCCGCCGGGCCTGGCCCCGCGGAGTTACCGCGGCCGTGCGGGAGGAGCCTGAGCCGAGGGAAGCGCTCCAGGCCCGGCACTCTCTCCCCGGCCGCCTCCCGAGCAGCGCCCGCCCCGCCGCGCCCGGCCCCCCTCTGCCTCCGGGGTGGTGCCGAGGGTTTGTCTCGCTTGGTTGAGCCTCGCTAGGCGTCTTTCCTTAATCTCGATGACATCAGAAGTTTCCGCGCTTTGCACATGTTGAAAATTCACTGCCCTCTTCCCTCTGTTTTTTGAATATCAGTTTTAAAGGACACAGGTTTTAGTGGTGCTGTGTGTGTCTCTTGCCGCGATGAAGAGACGGAGGCTGTCATAGAATCATAGAATGTTAAGGGGTTGGAATGGAGTTTAAAGATCATGGAGTTCCAACCCTCCTGCCATGAGCAGGGACACCTTTCACTAGACCAGGTTGCTCAGGGTCTTATTCACTCTGGCCTTGGAACACTGCCAGGGATGGGGCATCCACAACCTCCCCAGGCAACCTGTTCCAGTGTCTCACCACCCCCACAGTAAAAAATTTCTTCCTAATATCTAATTTAAATTTCCCCTTTTGAGATTTGTACCCATTACTCCTTGTCCCATCACTACAGTTCCTGACAGAGTCCCTCTCCAGCTTCCCTATAGGCCTGCTTCAGATACTGGAAAGTTGCTATGAGGTTTCCTCGCAACCTTCTCCAGAAGATTCTCTTTCCCCCATTCATCTTTACCATTTGTGACTACATAAATGTATTTTCTTGTCTGTACCATGCTTAGCTACAAGCTCTTTTGAGTGTTTTTTTTTTTTCAGTAATTTTTTTTCAAAGTTTAAAGCAGTGTTTTCTGGTTCCTTGCCAAGTACATAATGAATTGGAGACTTGGCTTTGCGTACACAGACTTAATGAGTCTTTGTATTGTGTTCTCTATAATGCATTTCAGTTATTACTTCATGTGACTTACCTGGCAGTGATATAAAGCTACACCTCTGTAACTTCCAAACTGCCATCCTGACTCCCTTGGTCTTTTTATTATTTCCCTTCTCTCATGGTTTTGGAGTGAGTCTTAGCTTTAATTGCAGGTGCCATCTTTCTGTGAGCAATTTTCTTCATTCACAATATCTTCAGAGATCTTGGGTAGATACTATATATATAAACCTATTAACTTGTTCTTGTAGAGGCAGCAAAGGAGTCTTTAACAGACATGAGAAACCAAGGGGCATTAAAGAATTACTACCAAGGTCTTTGGTCTGGAGGAGTGGGTGATGGTTGGCATTAGTGGGGCACTCATGCTGTATGTCCAGGATCTCACTGTGACACAAGAGACCAGATGGAAGGATGGTCTGGAACTCTGAAGAGGAAAGGTGAGCTGACCTGGAGGGGGAAAAAATAACGGCAAGCAATGAACTGCAGAAATGAAGGAGAAAATGTTGAAGTTCAAAAGAGGGTGAAAGAAGTTGATGGATGGAGTGAAAGGGGAAAAAAGTAATAAATTGAAAACAGTGTTATAAGTTTTTAGAAGAGGGAAGAAAGATGAGAAGGACTGAAATAAATAAGCTCTGGTATGACAGCCTCAGAGATGGGGAGAGGGAGAAGGGGAAAGAGAAATCAGAGTACAGGGTAGAAGAGGTAAAAGCAGTGTGAAGAGCAAGGTCATTGATAGAAGGGAAAAGAAACACGAGCTCCTGGAGGAGTCGTAATGGTAATTCACAATAGCGACAACACATGGGGAATTACTGAGACGCAGAGGCAAGGAGAGGACTTGGAAATCTTAAGAGGAAAAAGCAAAAGTTTGCTTGGATTTTTTTTTTGTATCAGTGGCAAGTCCCAGTTTAACCACGTTTGTGCCCCGTCAAACCACGTTTGTGCCCTGTCATCTCATGAACACTGTCAGCTTTTCTTTCAAGCGTGTACATAAGACTGCTCATTTGTCAGTGGGAGGCCTGTTGCCTTGTCACAAAAGGGAAAAACAAGGGCCTTTACTCGTTTTGAAATAATTTGTTAACAATCCTTCAAATATGCCGTGAATAGGAACAGTTGGAGCTTTCAGACTTGAGAATCGTCTCAGGCCACGACCCCCCGAGACGAGATACTCGAGGCAGGTGCTGGAGAGGTGGCTCTTCACTGTGTTATCAAGGTCATCAGATGAGGAGCGTCACCCCGCTTTTCCTTCACTAAAGCCAGGGAGCAGCGTTCCCGCACGAAAGCTCTCGGGAGTTCTGCGTGGCCGAAATCCCGCTTATGCTCCGAGCCCTCGCGGCGGGTGCCCCCTGCCCCGCTCCCTGCCTGTCCCCCCGGCAGCGCGAGGGGCGCCGGTATCGCACCTGCCCCACCGATGGGGCTGCGGGGGGAGCCAAAGGCACCGCCGCCCCGCGGGGGCCTGGCAGCCCTGCCCGCACCGGCAGCGGGATGAGGCGGCGGGGAGTGGAAAAACCCCGGGATCAGCAGGAGGAGCCGCGTGCGCCGCGGAGGGGGGCGGGACACACCTCCGGGCGCGCGCGCTGCCGTTGGCCGGGCGGCGCGGGGGTGTGGGGGGCGGGGCCGCGGCGCGCGCGGAGCAGGGGGGCACGTTGAAAGGAGCGGCGCGCGAGCGGCGCGCGGCAGCATCGCCCGGCACCGGTGGGCAGCGCGCGCCATGTCCCTGCGCGGCGGCCTCGCGCGGCTCCTGCGCACGCGGGCGGACGCGGCGCCGCAGCCGCCCCGGCGCGCGCGCTCCGTGGCGCTGGTGGGAGCGCCGCTGTCCCGGGGGCAGGTGGGCATCGCGGGGCATCGCGGGGCATCGCTGGGCATCGCGGAGCATCGCGGGGCGGGGGGCGCCTGGCTGCGGGCAGCGCTGTCTGACGCGTTCCCCTTCTCTTTGTCTCGCAGAAGCGGCGGGGAGTGGACCACGGCCCCGCGACCCTCCGCGCCGCGGGGCTGGTGGAGCGGCTGGCCGGGCTCGGTGAGGCACCGCGCGGCGCGGCGGGGCGGGGGTGGCGGCGGGGACTGCGGGGATGCCCGCATCGCCCCCCTCCCCTTTCGGGAAAGCGTGACTCAGCCGCTCGCTGCGGGGTGCGGGGAGACGGGTCCCGCTTCCAGCTCTCCCCGGAACCCGCCGTGCCCTGGGGCCGGCGATGCCCGCAGCCTGGACGCGGTGCCGGGAGGGAGAGGCTTTGTCGCATTCCGCACCCGGCGGAGTCGCGCCGGGGCTTCGCGGGGTCCCCTAGAACAAAGAGAGGCCGATGCTCCGGCTCCCCGAGCGATGCGCTCCGGCTGCTCGGGAGCAGCGGGGAGCCGGGAGCGGCTGTGCTGCACAGCGGGCGCTGCACCGGCACACGGGGCGTGTGCTGTTCCCGTGGTGACTCCCGGAAAGCTGGAGAAGCCAGAGGCCGTTCGAAACGCTGTGTGCGCTCTGTGCATCCAGCAAAGTAACCCCTGACGAGATCCTCTGTTTCTCACGCTGTGTAGGTGGGGGGGGTTGGGGTTTTCTTTCGTTGTTGTTTTTTTTTCTCTCCCATGTACCTTACCAGCTACGTAGCTTGTTCCTAAAGTGCTTGTATGCTTTCAGGTGATGAAATTCAGAGCTTTCTGGAGAAATCTGCAGTTTTGTGTATGAGGTCTTGCCTGCAGCTTTACTTTGAAAACTTGCAAATACCACTTTGTGAATGGAGAGTTTCTGGTCTTTTTGTGCAAGGAAACCCATGCACTTGTTTGTGATTCAGCTTCTCCATCTAATCCTTCTACAAGCTGAGACCTGCAGAAAACTGTATCACAGTTTATTAGAAACAGGACATGAGGGATAGAAACTTGTAAAGTCAAACTCTGTCTTGGAGAATCTTTAACCTAAGATGTGTTAAATGAAAACTGTATGATGGGGATGGATTGCAGGGCTGGACCACAGAAAGAACTGTTATCTGCTCTCTGTGTGGTTAGTCAGTGGAGTTAAGATGCATACAGAGATAACAATCCTAATAATCCTCTAGCGATTCTATTCTGAATTTTAAGATCTCTTTAAAACAAAAGCAATTATTATGTGTAGTCCTTATTCTGGTAAATCCTGTAGGCTTATCCTGCATATCTTGTGATTCACAAGTTGAAAAGTCCCAATTTGCAATGAGATGAGTAGGCATTCTCTTCCTGTCTTGTTTTGTGCAAAGTAGAGACACATGCTGTCCTTGGCAATATTTGAATTCTGCTGAGCATGATGTATAAGCTCAGAAAATGTTGAAGAGGGCATCTAAAAGAAGTTTTATATACTGGAATAGTTACTGAGCTTAGAGTTTATTTAAAACTAGCAAGTTACCAGATTCGAAAGGAGGATGTTACTCAAAATAAGACTGTAGGCAACAGTTTATTTCATATTAATAACAGACTTTTATAATGGAAGGCTTGGAGTTCTCTTTCAAGTGGTTCAGAGCTAATATTTCCATTTTGTAAGAATTCTTTAGCAGAAAAAAAAAAACAAACCACAAAACCCGACAAATTTAAAAACTAGGAGAAAAAGCCCTCTCATTTGCATGACATAAGCTCACTTCAGAGGAACTTGTAGAAGATAGAAAGAAAAGAGAATTCAAGTTTTTTCTGGATTCCAGTGACAAAATGTTGTGGGGATAGAAATGAAGCAAGCTAAACTAAAAAAAAAAAGTGGAAGGTGAAAAATACTTTGACTGTTTAGTTGCTTATAGACTGTTTGCTCATCAATCAGTAATGCACATGGAGATATTTTGTTGCTGTTCCCTTACAATTTCTTCCTTCTGCAATTGCAGTTTCCTATTGCTGGCATGTTCTTCCACTGGGGTAGGGTTGGTCTGTTTTTGTCAGCTGGGGTTGGTCTACTGCTGCTTAAATCTCTGCAGCTCTTTAAAGAACAGGTTCTACTGTGAGGACCCATCCTGAAACAATGGCAGTCACCAGCATGCATGGAGGAATGGTTTACAGAGCAAAAACAATTTGCTTGAGGGTAGAGTGGTAGATAAAGGAGGACACTACCATGTAGCCTTTTCTATTGTACACATATATTGTTCATGGAAACTTACTTAACAAATGCTTGGTTTTGTGTGGGGGCTGTTTATTTTTCTTTCTTGGGTTGGCAACATAGCTTTGGCTGTAGTACTGTGATGATAGTGCCATTACTTGGAGTCCTGTGGTATGCTGAAGTGGCAGTAAAACTTTAGCTGCTTTGTCTTTCTAACACTATAATTTTCTTCTCATACTCTGAAGAAGGCAATGGAGCCACAGTATTATTCTCATTATTAACTTGGATGTTCTATTTATCTGTTTTGTTACAAGAGTTAATAATTTTCATGAGATCTTGATTGTTTTCCAGGAACAGGCAACTTATACTGCAGCAGACCACGTTTCTCCACTAAAAAGAAATAACATTTATCTAAGATAGAGGTCTTTGTCAAATTGGCTGATTTTGAAGCATTTGTGACCGTAGGGTCTATGGTGTGTGTGTGTGCATGTGGAAAGTGTTTGTTGTTGCATGCCCTCATTCCCTCCTCGGATGTGAGAGAATGCTATAACTTTGATTTTCCTTGTCATTACAAGTTTGGAACCAGGCGTGAGGTCAGATGTGGAATGATGCTTCCCAGTAGAAGAGCGAGGGTGGATTCTGGGCAGTCTAAAGAAGTGTAGAGGGAGGAAACAGGCAGTGTTCCTGTAATGAAAACTCTGTATTAACAGTAACTGTCAAAATTGCTCTTGCCTTGTTTCAAGTGGAAGAGATTTCTGGTGATCAGACTCTTCTGTTTGCCTGGAATTTTAAAGTTTGATTTATTAATTTTCCATTTGTAATTCAAGTTCAATTCGACCTGTATAAAATGAATGTGCTCTGGAGTGTCCTCTAAAAGGTAGCATTCAGATAGTGAGATGCATGCTCTGTGTTTGTTACTTTTAATATGGAGCAGCTACATGGCTTTTCATATGCATGTGTGCCTGATTCAGTGACTTCAGTGTATAGTGCTCAAGCCACATCAGAGAGAGTGAGATATTTCTGTTTCCTCTTTTTGCATTGTTTTGCGCTTTGATTTCACTGGCTGGTGTATTTGGGAGGCGATTTTGTTGTTCCTTTCACCCTATCCTAATTCCTGTTCTTTCATAGTCTTATTGCAGTGTTCTGAGCTACTATTTTTTCTGTTTTGGGGGGCGGGGGGATCCCTCCCTTGAAAGATTGTGTGACTATACCTACATGGTATGGTAACTTCTTCACCGCCTCAAGTAGTGACTGCCTATGAATGGCTTGTTTATGCCTAGGCTGAAATATGAGGAGGGAGCTCTGAGGCAGATGTTATCATTAGTCTGCACCAGACTGTCAGAGATGAATCTGAGCCACCAACTTGACTTTTATCCCCTTGTTAGAAGCAGAGAGAACGCTGTTACGTGTTGGTAGTAGCTGGAGGTGTACTCGGGAAGAGAGTTACTGTAGCAGGAGTCCAGCTCCCAAGCCAAAAACAGTGGGTGTGCAAGTCTAGCAGGGATAATTTAAGATATAACTGACTATGCCTGTGGGGATTTTTATTCACCTTGGTGATGTTTGTCTGTTGGCTTTGTTCTTCTCCTAAGGGAAACTAAAATATTATCACCTTAAAGGACCCTTCCATCTTGCCAAAGAAGTAAAAGTGCTACGTGGAAATAGAGACCCATAACTCCTTGGCATGGGGGAGAAAAGTATGTAGGGCTGTGTATTGCTCTGACAGTAAACAGAAATAGGTGCAGTATGTGGAGTCTCTTGGACTTTTGGTGGGAAGGAGTGGGGAAGATAAGTGACAGATGCATTTGACCTAAGCTATAGAAGGTGCTAAGTATGAAGTTTTTTAAAGTAAGAATTTCTTGGACCTCTCCTGTTTGCTGCAGATTAGGCAGAGTATCTAATCAAACTTTAATCCAGAGTGTTGCCTAGTCCTCTTACTTGAAGGAAAGAAGGATCTTTCTCAAATTCTTTTACATAATGGATAGCTGCTGTGTCTTCTGTAGCACCTGATGTGACTTAGAGCACCTCTGCTCTTGCTAACATGGGAACAACTTTAGTACGATTTCTTCCCAAGTATTCATTCTTGTATGTTGACTATTGTTGATTGTTGAATTAAATTTTTTTTCTTTATTTAGAGCTGGATACAGCTGGGTTGCTGAGTTTAGTCAGGCTTGGATTACTATAGAATTGATTAACAAAGTTTGGATCTGAGTTGCTGGCTTGACAAGTTGCTGGACTGCAGAGACATGTGGCTTACACATAGAGTAGAACTAGATTTGTCATGGAGAATGACCGTCATCTCACTATTCTTTTGTTTGACCAGAAAAAGTTCTTCTCTGGGAGCAATAGGTTTCATGAGGTCAGTATAGTGACTCAGAAAGGAGTAACCTCCTTTAAAAGAGGAGTGGAGCTGCTAATCCCCATGTCACTGGAGTTATGCTCCTGCTTTGCCCAAAACCATTGGACTCCTATCGACATCTGCTGCCAAAAATAGAATTCAACTTTGCTGTCTCATCAGCATAGCCCATATGGTTAGTTTCAGTCTTAACAAGAAATCATGAAGCAGCTTATTCTACATATATCTCCTCTTTTTCCACCTAAATCTTCTTGGGTGAAGAGTTTAGGAGGAAGATAGGCAGTTTTTTGATTATGTACCAATTATGCATACAGGTACTGGGGTTCAGCACATGTGCAGTGGCAAGAGTTACAGCTGCATTGTTGGGAAAATAATTTTCATCAGTCCATCCAGTAAATATGTGTTTAAAGAGCTGCCTGTATCCCTGAAGAATTTGATATTTGTATTATTCTGCTTGCCTATATTTGAGTTAAGATTGCATTTACAGTCTGTAGTTTGACAAAGACCCATTTATGTTAGAAACAAGATCTGTCAGGAATGCAGTGTTTTTGGATTAGATTCTAGTTTAGCACTAGCTCTTACCTCAACTGTTTCTCTTAAAAACTCAGTATTTTAGGCTTGCAAAGACATTAGT